AAAAAAAAAAAAAATCATTGGAAACAACCTGAATATACCCAAAGAGTTAAGCCATACTATATCTTCTTAGAAATATTATGCAGCCATTAAAATCTTTAGTTTGTAAAACAGCACAGGAAAGCATGCATAGGGCAGGAAAAATATACATGCATGATTACAGCTTTGTCATAGGAAGAAAGTCCTATCCATAGAGTCTGGAATTAACAAAAATGTCACCTGCTTTTTCCATTAGGTTAGAGAAATAAGGGTATTTTTCTCTATTTTCCTATTTTTTCATATTATATTTTATTTATTTTTTAGACACAGGATCTTGCTCTGTTGCCCAGGTTGGATTGCAGTGGTGTGATCCTAGCTCACCAGGCTGAAGCAGTCTTCCCACCTCGGCATCCTAAAGAGCTAGGATTTTAAGTGTGAGCCACCATGCCCAGCCATTTTCCAAATTCTATTTAATATCATGTTAATTTTAAAATGAAATATCAAGGCCAGGCACAGCAGCTCCCAGCACTTAGGGAGGCAGAGGCAGGCAGATCACCTGAGATCAGGAGTTTGAGACCAGCCTGGCCAACATGGCGAAACCCCATCTCTACTAAAAATACAAAAGTTAGCCAGGCATTGTGGTGCACACCTGTAATCCCAGCTACTCAGAAGGCTGAGGCAGAATAATCGCTTGAACCCGGGAGGCAGAGGTTGCAGTGAACTGAGATCATTCTACTGCATTTTGGCCCAGGCGACAAAGCAAGACTCCATCAAACAAAAAACAACAGGCAGGGCTCTGTGGCTCATGACTGTAATCCCAGCACTTTGGAAGGCCAAGGCGGGTGGATGACCAGAGGTTGGGAGTTTGTGACTAGTGTGACCAATATGGAGAAACCCCATCTCTACTAAAAATGCAGAATTATCCAGGCATGGTGGTGCATGCCTGTAATCCCAGCTACTCGGGAGGTTGAGGCAGAATTACTTAAACTGGGGAGGCAGAGGTTGCAGTGAGCTGAGATTGTGCCATTGCACTCCAGCCTGGGAAATAACAGGGAAACTGTCTCAAAAAAAAAAAAAAAAAGAAAGAAAGAAAGAAAAGAAAGAAAAGAAAATAAATATCTAATACATCCTGCCAGGTTTGGTGGCTCATGCCTGATAATCCCAGGACTTTGAGAGGCCAAGGCAGGTGGATCACCTGAGGTCAGGAGCTTGAGACCAGCCTGGCCAACATGGTGAAATCCAGTCTCTACTAAAAATACAAAAATTAGCTGGGCCTGGTGGTGTGGGCCTCTAGACCCAGCTACTTGGGAGGCTGAAGTGGGAGGATCACTTGAGCCTGGGAGGTAGAGGTTGCAGTGAACCAAGATTGTGCCACTGCACTTTAGCCTGGATGACAGAGTGAGACCCTGTCTTAAAAAAAAAAAAATTCAGCCGGGTGCGGTGGCTCACGCCTGTAATCCCTGCACTTCGGGAGGCCGAGGTGGGTTGATCACGAGGTCAAGAGATCGAGACCATCCTGGTCAACATGGTGAAACCCCGTCTCTACTAAAAATACAAAAAATTAGCTGGGAATGGTGGCGCATGCCTGTAATCCGAACTACTCAGGAGGCTGAGGCAGGAGAATTGCCTGAACCAGGAGCAGGAGGTTGCGGTGAGCTGAGATCATGCCATTGCACTCCAGCCTGGGTAACAAGAGCGAAACTCTGTCTCAAAAAAAATAATAATAATAATAATTAAAAATAATAAAATAGCTAATGAAAATGGTGGCTGTTAGGATTTAAAATTAAAAATGTATAAGCACACTAGAAAATACATAATATCAAATGATGAAATATCAAAACAGAAAAATACATATCAAAAGCACAAAAATTGTATTTCCAGTGTAATTGTAATTATGTTTCAAGTGTATGTGTGTATGATGGGGGAGATAGAGAGTAGAAAGAAAAGTATCAAAATGCCAGGAAGGATTATGTAAAGTAGGGCTGTGGTAGTTTTTTAAATCTTATTTTCTAAATGTTTTATAAGTTATTTTTATTTATTTTTTATTTTACACATTGAATTTCTGCAGATGTATTACTTTTGTTTTTGACAAATTACCTGGCTGACTCATAGTGAGTCAGCTGCACCCAGGGACCCTGATTTACCGCAGGCCTCATCTCGCCTCACTGCTGGGACATGCCTTGTCTCAAAATGATAAGATGCCTTTAGGGAATTAAAGTTCTATTGTGTCATAATTTATCAAGCCCATAGACAGATAGGGGCAAAGCTGCTGCGGTGACTTTTCGTACTGTAGTTGAAAGAATGCTGAATGGAACAAAAAGCCCAGGAACACTGGTTCTGTGTTCAGTGCTGCATTTTTGTTGAGTGGTCATTTAACCTTCTTTCCTTACTCCAATACTAAAAGGGTCAGATAACTTGTGAATCTCTAATTATGTTATGTATAGAAACGTCAGCTGAGTAGAGAAGATATGGAAAATTAGTGGTAGACTACAGCAAGACTCCAAGAGTTTGGGAAACAAGGAAGCATGGTTTATGACCTCTCATACTAGGAAAATACAAAGTAAAGAACTCAACAATGGGTTGAGATGGAAGTGCAGGATTTCCCAAAATTTAGACAAGACATCTGGGTAATAGCATACAGCACTAGCAACAGGTTTGAGTAACAGGAATTTTTTAAACTCTATCTAGCAAAACCCAGAAATTTGTGGTAGGGTGTAACCACACACGTAGAATTTAGGTAGGCACTCCAGGCTAGAATGAAGATGTAGAGAAAAATGCTGTTTCAGGTATAGATGAGTGTTTCACTTGAGAGAATACTGAAGCCCAAAAGGCTCATGTAGCTTGGGGAGTCAGTACTTCTCAAATGCACTATCCAGTAGAACTTTTTTTTTTGAGACGTTGTCTTACTCTGTTGCCCAGGCTGGAGTGCAACAGCGAGAACTCAGCTCACTGCAGTCTCCACTTCCCGGGTTCAAGAGATTCTCCTGCCTCGGCCTCTTAAGTAGCTGGGATTACAGGCACCTGCTACAACACCCAGCGTCTCACTCTGTTGCCCAGGCTGGAGTGCAACAGCCAGAACTCAGCTCACTGCAGTCTCCACTTCCCAGGTTCAAGAGATTCTCCTGCCTCGGCCTCTCAAGTAGCTGGGATTACAGGCACCTGCTACAACACCCAGCTAACTTTTGTATTTTTGGTAGACAGGGGGTTTCACCATGTTGGCTGAGCTGGTCTCAAAGTCCAGACCTCAAGTGATACGCCTGCCTTGGCCTCCGAAAGTGCTGGAATTACAGGCATGAGCCACTGTGTCTGGCCTTTTTTTTTTTTTTTTTTTTCACTCTGTGGCCCAGGCTGGATTGCAGTGGTGCAATATCTGCTCATTGCAACCTCTCCCTCCTGGATTCAAGTGATTCTCCTGCCTCCGCCTCCCAAGTAGCTAGGATTACAGGCAGATGCCGCTGTACCTGGCTTAGTTTTTTGTATTTTTAGCAGAGATAGGGTTACACCACGTTGGCTAGGCTGATCTCAAACTCCTGACCTCAAATCATCCAGCTGCCTCGGCCTCCCAAAGTGCTGGGATTAGATCTGGGCTCTGGAGTTTGGAAAGGCATAGCAATTCTTTCAATGGCACTCATAATAGAATCAACTAATGCAGACAAGGATGTTCCTAATCTTAGACTGTTCCTAAGTGCAAAAATAACAGATCCAAATCACACAGATTTATAAACTGGACTGTGGATCTAGAAATCCAGACATTGCTTTCTACCCTGACCAGTTAAGAAAAGAGATATTTTAGTATGCCATACAGGTTTATTGGTTATTTTACACAAAAGAATGTGAGCAATTTGCAAGCATTCAATACTTTAAAAGGCTCAATACAAGCTGCCTTCCTTTCAACCTAAGAAAGTATACTAACTCCAGGCAAATAGAATAGAGTCAGACTTCAAGTTTATATAACAGACTAAAAAGAAAGCCAGGGTCCCTGCTTTGTTAGGAAAATGGACAAAACCAGCTAAAAGTAAAGGAAAAAATTAAAAGTAAGATATTGGCTGGGCACCATGGCTTACACCTGTAATCCCAGCACTTTGGGAGTGAGAGGAGGGTGGATCACTTGAGGTCAGGAGTTTGAGACTAGCCTGGGCAACAGGTGAAACCCCATCTCTACTAAAAATACAAAAAATTAGCCAAATGTGGTGGCACACACCTATAATCCCAGCTACTCAGGAGGCTGAGCCAGGAGAATAGCTTGAACCTGGAAGGCAGAGGTTGCAGTGAGCAGTGATCATGCCATTGCACTCCAGCCTTGGTGACAGAGTGAGACCCCATCAAAAAAAACAAATACTAAAGTACTGATTCCTGTAACATTAACTATTTGCCTATGAGACAGAAAACACATTCAACACTCAAACATAAAGTTAATAAATTTTAAAAAGGAAAAAAGTGGCTACTCTGGGGACACTACCTATGGGGTAGCCCTGCTCCACAAGGAGCAATTAAAAAAATAAATAAAAAGTTCTTCTTTAGAAAGAAAAATAAATAAATAAATAAAAAGAAAAAAGTACTGGTAAAGTTATCAAGTACCAATTTTTAATATGAATCATTAATAGTTTTACCAGCTCCCTTCGAAGGAATCCAAAAGCCAAGAAGTAAAACAAAATTTTAAAATGATGGAGTCTTCCTGAAACTAAGCCCAAGATTCCAGTATTTTTCCTTTCTTCAAATCCTCTAAGCCCTTTTCCTTTCTTCAAATCCTCTAAACCCTTTTATGAGAAATAACACACTCTGTCTGGTCACTGCGAACATTTCTGTACAATGACATAATCAGAAATTACACTTCTTCCATTATTTAACTTATTCATTCTCGTTTTCCACATACCATGAACACCAGAGTAAGCAAGAGAATATAATTTTCCCCTGTAACTGAAGCATTACTAAATTTACAACATGAGAAACTTAGGCACTGTGGAAGGCCCTGATGGCAAAGGAAATAAGCCACCCACATGGCCTCAAGAACAAACTGCGCATCTCTAAGGAAGATTTAGAGAGGCATTTATCCAGGAATGGGTCTTCTCCAAGGCTGGACAAGGGAGGGAGTGCGGAAAGCACAGCATTTCTTGTAGGATAAAAGGTTTCACTTGGAGACACTCTGGTGTCCTGAGGAAGAGAAGGAGACACTGAAACAGCCTGTTCTGTGCATTTTAAATCTTCCTTGTTTTCCACCATCAATAACTGTTCTATCTTCTCTTTCAAAGATAAATTTGCCTGAAACTCATGTTTGGGTGTCATAAAGTGTTCTTTCTGAGTTATTCTCTGGTCCTCTGACCCCTTTGACTCAGGGCACATGAGTTTGTTCCTGGAATCCTCACTGGTTTCCGCTTCTATGGGAGGTAGATGTTGAGGTTTTGTAGCTTGTTTATTCATAGATTCTTCTTTCAGTAAATTCACATCCCCATGGAAGTCTTGAGATGTAAAACTTGGAGTTTTATCTATCCTAGAATTTTTACCAAATAAGAAACCTTTGACATTCTGTCTCCTTGCTGCCTCTGTCACTAATTTCCTTGGCTGTAGCACTGTCCTTATAAGGAGTCCCTGTGCATTCACCCTATATTCTCTTGCAGCTTTCTCTCTGCGCTGCTTCTGGAAGTCCTTGAGTTGAAGCAGTTCATCTGGCAGCTCCATACATGTAGGCTAAGAAGAGAAAGGGAACACAAGTTTACTATAACTAAACTTCTGATAGGCTGGGAACGGTGGCTCAAACCTGTAATCCCAGCACTTTGGGAGGGTTAGGGCGGGTTGATCACGAGGTCAAGAGATGGAGACCATCTTGGTCAACATGGTGAAACCCCGTCTCTACTAAAAATACAAAAAAATTAGCTGGGCATGGCGGCGCGTGCCTGTAATCCCAGCTACGCAGGAGGCTGAGGCAGGAGAATTGCCTGAACCCAGGAGACGGAGGTTGCGGTGAGCCGAGATCATACCATTGCACTCCAGCCTGGGTAACAAGAGCGAAACTCCGTCTTAAAAAAAAAAAAACTTCTGAATATGGTACTTAAAATTACTTCTTTTGTTTTTTGAGACGCAGTCTCATTCTGTTGTCAGGTTGGAGTACAGTGGCGTGATCTCGGCTCACTGCAACCTCCAACTCCCTGGTTCAAGCGATTCTCCTGCCTCAGCCTTCCAAGTAGCTGGGATTATAGGCATACTCCACACATCCAGCTAATTTTTGTAGTTTTATTAGAAACAGGGTTTCACCATGTTGGCCAGGATAGTCTCAATCTCCTGACCTTGTGATCCACCCGCCTCAGCCTCCCAAAGTCCTGGGATTACAGGCATGAGCCACCATGCCCAGCCTGAAATCACTTCTATTGTACTGAATGGATTGGTAAATGAGGATCTATTCAAATGTGTTCATATAGCACCCTCTGGTGTCAACTATAGTAGTACCATTTTTCTAGTAATTTCCATATTTTGAAAAGGCAGTGAATCCATAGGGCTGTGTGTCTGTGTGTGTATGCACTTATGTATTAAAATTATACAGGAAAAGTAAGTCTCCCTTCCAACCTGGCTTCAGTTGCCTTAGCAGGTACATCTTAGTTTCTTGTGTTATCTACCAAATATAGTCTACTAATGCATGATCATATACATATACATGTTTTTTTCATCGGATTCCATTTTTATTTTCCTCCAAATTTTTATTTTGTTAACTCCTTCAGGTTTGGGAAGGGTTTTTGTTTTTGTTTTTGAGACAGGGTCTTGCTCTGTTGCCTAGGCTGGAGTGCAATGATGTGATCATGCCTCACTGTAACCTCTAACTCCTGTAACCTCTAACTTTGTGATCCTCCTGCCTCAGCCTCCTGAATAGCTGGAACCACAGGTACATGCCACCATGCCTATCTTTTTTTTTTTTTTGGTGACAGGGCCTTGCTCTGTCACATAGGCTGAAGTGCAGTGGTGTGATCATGGCTTACTGCAATCTCCACCTCTTGGGCTCAAACAATTCTCCCACCTCAGCCTCCCCAACTCAGAGTAGCTGGAACTTCAGGTGTGTGCTACCAACCTGGCTAATTTTTAAATTTTTTGAAGAGACGGTTTCACTACACCGCCCAGGCTGGTCTTGAATTCCTGGGCTCAAGTGATCCTCCGTCCTTGGCCTCCCAAAGTGCTGAAATTATAGGCATGAACCACCACACCCAGGCTCTGATTCTATTTTCTAGCTGCTCATATGGATATCAAAAAGCTATTAATTTTTGCATATGTACCAGGCACTTTACAAATTGCCTTTTTGTTTGTGGTAGTCTTTTTCAGTGGATTCTCTTCAGTTTTTAGTTGTGTAACTGGCGAGTCATAATTCCGATTCCTTTTTTCAATTTTCATAGCTCATATTTTCTAGTTTCAGTAATAGCTTCAAAAATGCTAAAATAGTGGTGATTGTCACAATTTTTGTACATTCCTGATATTAATGTTCTCAAACAAATACACAGTCTTCTCTCTTGAGATACTTTCCATATCCATGAGTTCTGCATCCATGGATTCAACCAACTGTGGATTGATATAGTCAGGAAAAAGGGCTAGGCCCAGTGGCTCATACCTGTAATCCCAGTGCTTTGGGAGGCTGAGGTGAGCAGATCACATAAGGTAAGGAGTTCCAGAGCAGTCTAACCAACCCCATCTCTACTAAAAATACAAAAATTAGCTGGGCACGGTAGCACATGCTTATAATCCTAGCTACTCAGGAGGCTGAGGGAGGAGAATCACTTGAACCCAGGAGGTCGAGGTTGCAGTGAGCCAAGATTGCACCACTGCACTCCAGCCTGGGTAACAGAGTAAGATTCTGTCTCAAAAAAAGAAAAAAAAGGCTGAGCGTGGTGCTTCACGCCTGTAATCCCAGAACTTTGGGAGGCCGAGGCGGGTGGATCACGAGGTCAATAGATCAAGATCATCCTGGTCAACATGGTGAATCCCGTCTCTACTAAAGATACAAAAATTAGCTGCTGGGGCCGGGCGCGGTGGCGCATGCCTGTAATCCCAGCACTTTGGGAGGCCGAGGCGGGCGGATCACGAGGTCAAGAGATCGAGACCAACCTGGTCAACATGGTGAAACTCCGCCTCTACTAAAAATACAAAAAATTAGCTGGGCATGGTGGCGCATACCTGTAATCCCAGATGCTCGGGAGGCTGAGGCAGGAGAATTGCCTGAACCCAGGAGACGGAGGTTGCAGTGAGCCGAGATCGCGCCATTGCACTCCAGCCTGGGTAACAACAGCAAAACTCCGTCCCAAAAGAAAAAAAAAAAAAAATTAGCTTGGCATGGCATGCCATGTAGTTCCAGCTACTCTGGCGGCTGGGGCAGGAGAATCACTTAAACCCGGGAGGCAGAAGTTGCAGTGAGCCGATATCGTGCCACTGCACTCCAGCCTGGCGCCACTGCACTCCAGCCTGGCAACAGACCAAGACTCCATCAAAGAAAGAAGAGGGGAGGGGAAATGAGGGAAGGGGAGGGAGGGGTATTAGGCTAGGTGCGGTGGCTCATGCCTATAATCCCAGCACTTTGGGAGGCCAAGGCAGGCAGATCACCTGAGGTTGGGAGTTCGAGACCAGCTTGGCCAACATCGTGAAGTCCCATCTCTACCCAAAATACAAAAATTAGTTGGGTGTGGTGACACGTGCCTGTAATCCCAGCTACTCAGGAGGCTGAAGCAGGAGAATTGCTGGAACCCCAGAGGCGGAGGTTGCAGTGAGCTAAGATCATGTCATTGCACTCCAGGCTGAGTGACAGAGTGAGACTTCATTTCAAAAAAATAAAATAGAATATATAAATACAGAAATATTAAACCTACCCATTCTTAGACAGAAATATTTCTTGGAAACCTAATTTAATATTATGAAAAGGTGTTCAAGGGGATTGATCATGCCAAAGCTGTTGCCCCTTCAAGAATGTTTATCACCATGTTGGCCCCATCAAAATTATTGCAGCTATTAAGCAAGAGTATCACTGTGTCTGCCTTCCATGGGAAGAAGGCAGAAACGAGGTTCTGAAGACAGAGAGCGGCAGCTACCTCGGTGCCTCCAAGACGGTCTGCAGACCCTCCGCGGTATGTGTTTAGGTATCCATCCACCAGAGTGGTTAGGTCAGACATCATCTCATCTAGGAGTGCCCAGCGAAGGGGTAATAGGTAGGCAGCTTCCAGGGCCAAAATTTTAAGTAAAGAGGGTGAAACAGGTCGGATGAACCATACTTCTGGATTTTCCTGGAGACAATAAAACAATTTCCTCTGAATAGTAAGCAAGACTTTAAAGAAAATATCTGTTTAAGTGTTGCTTAATTTAAGACACTATCATTTTCTTCTATTATTACCTTCTACTTTCACACTATCAATAGCCTTTGAGCATACACATACTTGCACACATACTCCTACATTAACAGTGTGCGTGTAAAACAGAGAAAGAGGGGTAGAGGAAGAGTCAGGTTGGTCAATCAAGACTTCACAAAGCTAGAGGCAGCAAACTTGATTATGTGAACAGAATTGTAACCAATATATTTATGACCTAAGTTAGCATGCAAGGATTATGAGGAGCTAAAGAAAATTCACCTTACTTTGGGATAAATAACTAGGATGATTTGGTCCCATTGACTTGATCCAAATTCCCACAAAAACTACCCCCTTGACCCAGCTAGAAAATTTATTTAATGCTTTTTATTGGCCGGGCGTGGTGGCTCAAGCCTGTAATCCCAGCACTTTGGGAGGCCGAGGCGGGTGGATCACGAGGTCGAGGGATCGAGACCATCCTGGTCAATATGGTGAAACCCCGTCTCTACTAAAAATGCAAAAAATTAGCTGGGCATGGTGGCACGTGCCTGTAATCCCAGCTACTCAGGAGGCTGAGGCAGGAGAATTGCCTGAACCCAGGAGGCGGAGGTTGCGGTGAGCCGAGATGCGCCATTGCACTCCAGCCTGGGTAACAAGAGCGAAACTCCGTCTCAAAAAAAAAAAAAAAAAGAATGCTTTTTATTTATTTTTATTTTTTGAGACGGAGTCTCTGTTGCCGAGGCTAGAGTGAAGTGTGCAGCAGCGCCATCTTGGCTTACCTCAACCTCCACCACCCCAGCCCCAACCCTGAGTTCAAGTGATTTTCTTGCCTCAGCCTCCTGAGTAGCTGAGATTATAGATGCCTGCCACCATGCTCAGCTAATTTCTATATATTTAGTAGAAATGAGATTTCACCATGTTGATCATGCTGGTCTTGAACTCCTGACCTCAGGTGATTCACCCACCTTGGCCTCCCAAAGTGGTGGGATTACAGGCGTGAGCCACCACGGCTGGCCTAAGAATGGTAAGATAGCCAACAAACCTGGATGTTGGCTTTTATCCACTTGAGACCAGATATAAACTGTTCCCATTTGGCACAGTTAAGACTTCGGCAATGTTCCTATGATTACATGGCAGTTGTTTTTCTATATAATAGGCTGATAATACTGCTCAGAAAACACTTGAAAAAAGGTAATGTCATAGAGGACATCCTTTAACACTCACCTGAATCAGTTTTTGTCTCTCTTCTAGAAAGGAGAGATATTTAGGGGCTACTTTAAGGTGTTTGATTAAACTCTCCTGCAAAGTAGTGATGCAGTTTGGAAGATAGCCACCCGTTTCCATGGAAAACTGAAGGACATCTGCTACCTGTGGTATTTTAAAAAGACAAACAGACTAGTTGAATATATACAGAGAGCTATCTCATGGCAGAAATATATTTAGAGAAATATATTTAGAGAAAACTACCATTTTCCCCAAGGATCCACATGACAGACTATGTCATCATGAAATTTAAAGTTGTTCAGTCAACTTATTCTGAAAAAATGGGGAAAAAAGCTTTTTTTTTTTGAGACGGAGCTTCACTCTCGTTACCCAGGCTGGAGTGCAGTGGCGCGATCTTGGCTCACCGCAACCTCCGCCTCCTGGGTTCAGGCAATTCTCCTGCCTCGACCTCCTGAGTAGCTGGGATTACAGGCACGCACCACCATGCCCAGCTAATGTTTTGTATTTTTTTTTTTTTTTTTTTTTTTGCGGAGTTTCGCTCTTGTTACCCAGGCTGGAGTGCAATGGCGCGATCTCGGCTCACCGCAACCTCCGCCTCCTGGGTTCAGGCAATTCTCCTGCCTCAGCCTCCTGAGTAGCTGGGATTACAGGCACGAGCCACCATGCCCAGCTAATTTTTTGTATTTTTAGTAGAGACGGGGTTTCACCATGTTGACCAGGATGGTCTCGATCTCTCCACCTCGTGATCCACCCGCCTCGGCCTCCCAAAGTGCTGGGATTACAGGCTTGAGCCACCGAGCCCGGCATGTTTTGTATTTTTAGTAGAGACGGGGTTTCACCATGTTGACCAGGATGGTCTCGATCTCTTGACCTTGTGATCCACCCGCCTCTGCCTCCCAAAGTGCTGGGATTACAGGCTTGAGCAACCGCACCCAGCCTTTTTTTTTTTTTTTGAGGTGGAGTCTTGCTCTGTTACCCAGGCTGGAGTACAGTGTGCAGTGGCACAATCTCAGCTCACTAAAACCTCCACCTCCCAGGCTCAAGTGATTGTTCTGCCTCAGCCTCCCCAGTAGCTGGGATTACAGGTGCACACTACCACACCTGACTAATTTCAACTTTTTAATTTTTAAAAAAATTTTTTTTTATTAGAGATAGAGTCTCGCTCTTATTGCCCAGGCTGGAGTGCAGTGGTGCAATCTCAGCTCATTGCAACCTCTGCCTCCCGGGTTCAAGTGATTCTCCTGCCTCAGCCTCCCAAGTAGCTGGGATTACAGGCACCTGCTACCACGCCTGGCTCAACTTTTTTTTAGAGACAGGGTCTTGCTATGTTGTCCAGGCTGGAGTGCAGTAGCTATTCACAGGCAAGATTCCACTACTGATAAGCATGGGGGTTCTGACCTGGTGCATTTCTGACCTGGGCTTGTTCACCTTCACTTAGGCAACCTGGTGGTTCTCCCTGCTCCTAGGAGGCCACCACATTGATGCCAGTCTCAGTATGGACACCAAATCAGCACAGTGCCCTACAGTCCCAAACTCCTTAGCTCAAGCAATTATCCCAGCTCAGCCTTCACAGTAACTGTGACTACAGGCACAAACCATCATAGCCAGCAATCCAAGTTTACTGTGTCCTTATCTACTTTTTCCCCATCCCCCCGCCACCGAGATGGAGTCTTGCTCTGTCACCCAGAGCTGGAGGGCAATGGTGCAATCTCGGCTCGCTGCAACCTCCACCTCTGGGGTTCAAACTATTCTCCTGTCTCAGCCTCCTGAGTAGCTGAGATTATAGGCATGCACCACCAAGCCTAATTTTTTAATTTTTAGTAGAGACGGGGTTTCACCATGTTGGCCAGGATGGTTTCAATCTCTTGACTTCATGATCCACCTGCCTCGGCCTCCCAAAGTACTGGGATTACAGGCGTGAGCCACCGCACCCGGTCAACAAGTGTTTTTTTTTTTTCCCAGTCTTTCTAAGTTTCAGTTCAGGCAAACAAGTGTTTTTTAAGAGGGATATTTTACTACAGTCAGAGGAGAAGGTGATGTGATGATGGAAGCAGAGATTACAGTGATGCACTTTGAAAACGGAGGAAGGGGCTACAAGCCAAGGAATACAGCTGGCTGCTAAAAGCTCAAAAAGGCAAGAAAACTCTCTCTTCAGAGCCTCTAGAAGAAACCAGCCGTGCAGAGCACTTTGACTTTGCCCTAGTGAAAATAATTCAAGACTTCTGACCCCTAAAACAATAAAGTAACAAATTTACACTGTTTTACGCCACTAAATTTGTGGTGATTTGTTACAGCAGCATTAAGAAACTAAAATGCTGTTATAGAAAAACAAATTGGTGGAATTCCTGCTTTATGTAAATCTGAAAAGAAAAACATAAACAGATATGCCAAGGTCTTCATTAGACAATATGTATAAGATCTAATCAAGAAGCCTAAAGGCCTCAAGGAAACAAGCAGCAATTATCTTAGAGTTTGGAGTAAGCATAAAAGCAATCTCTGCTTAGTGAAACATCCTGAAAGAAGGCACAAAGGAACACGTAAGTTGGAAATGGCAGCAAATTCATTGTGGATAGATAAACAGAAAAAGTGAACCACATATAGTAACATAAAATTGAATAGGGATTACTGCTAAAAAATAATTAGCCAACTCATTACAATTTCTCTGCAAAGGCTCTAGGCTTCTGCAGTCAAGATTTCCCTTTCAGTCATAAACCTAAAAGACTAGAAGTACCTAAAGAAAACATAAGGAAAACTAGTGGTTTTAGTGCTCTCACAGGCAAACCAGAAACCTAGATCAGCTCTAAGAGATAGTAGGGGTTCATCCTGTACTTGGGTGGCTGAGGCAGGAGGATGGCTTGAGCCTAAGAGTTTGAGACTAGCTTGGGCAACATAGTAAGACTCTGCTTCTAAATGATAATAATAATAACAAAACAATAATGGTTAGTAGAATCTAGGGAATTTTTATTAGAGAAATAAAGTTCCCTTAGATGACAAACAAATTATATCACTTCAGACTTTTTTGGGCCCAAATAGATTTGGGGGGCATGTGCAGGACAACCTGTACTCCTGAGTTAGATGTCAGTTTGCCATACTTGTTACATATGTGGTAAAGGCAGATATTTGATTGTTCCTCTCACACTACGTCTCCCATGTCAGGCTTCTGAATGATCCCTAAATTGCCCAAGATTCACAATGCTATGGACTATGGATCTTGCTTCTTTTTTTTTTTTCGGAGTTTCACTCTTGTTACCAGGCTGGAGTGCAATGGCGCGATCTCGGCTCACCGCAACCTCCTGGGTTCAGGCAATTCTCCTGCCTCAGCCTCCTGAGTAGCTGGGATTACAGGGACACGCTACCATGCCCAGCTAATGTTATGTATCTTTAGTAGAGACGGGGTTTCACCATGTTGACCAGGATGGTCTCGATCTCTTGACCTTGTGATCCACCCGCCTTGGCCTCCTGAAGTGCTGGGATTACAGGCTTGAGCCACCACGTCCGGCCGGATCTTGCTTCTTATTTGACAAATTGTGGAGCAAAATGAGGAAAACATCTTTATAAATAATTTTAAGTAACTTCTCTGCAGTGCTTTTAGAGTACACCAAAGCTTCTCACATATTGTACAAACATTTTACATGAGAAGTAAGCAGAAATGGGGCACCCAAAAAAAAAAAAAATTAAAAAGACTTTCACTTATCAGATGACCAGATGAGCTCTTTTATCGTTCCAATTTTAGTATATGTGCTGCTGAAGCGAGCACAAGCCCTTTTCTCAACAGAAGCTGTGTATATTGGTTTGAATCCAGTGCTTCCCTTCATATACCTGTGTGTCAAAGACATTATTCAGCAAAATTCCATACTGATGAGAGAGGCAATCAGAAAGCCAACGACAATCATGGATAACCTAAGGAATCAGAAGGGAACAGTTATTAGAACCAGGCTGCTAATCATAATAGAGCAGGAATTGGTGTACACACTTACCTTCAAAATTCTCTTGTCTTCTAATATCATCTGAAGTCCATTGTTGAAAGCTCGACTTCCCAGAAGGAAAATGTCAAATAAATAAACTCGGCAATTTGTAGCCACCTACAATAGACCATTCAGACATACACCTCATAGGATAAGGAAGAACTAAGGTAGGAAAATCTGAGGATGAAAAGTAAAAGATGTGTTAAAATATCTAACATCTTCACTTCATCTATTTATTTATTTAGAGACAGAGTTTCACTCTATTGCCCAGGCTGGAGTGCAATGGCACAATCTCGTCTCACTGCAGCCTCCATCTCCTGGGTTCCAGCAATTCTCTCTAGTAGCTGGGATTACAGTCATCTGCCACCATGCCCAACTAATTTTTGTATTTTTAGTAGAGAAAGGGTTTCACCATGTTAGCCAGGCTGGTCTCAAACTCCTGACCTCTTTGGCCTTCCAAATGCTGAGATAACAGGCATGAGCCACTACACCCAGCCATTTTTTTTTTTTTTTTAAATTTTCAATACAGACAAGGTCTTGCTACATTGCCCAGGTTGGTCTCAAACTTGTCAGCTGAAGTAATCCTCCTTCCTTGGCCTCCCAAAGTGCTGGGATTACAGATGTGAGCAACTGTACCTGGCCTAGAGTAATGTTTTTAGGGTTATATATATGGAGAGAGAGAGAGAGAGAGAGAGAGAGAGAGAGAGAGAGAGAGAGAGAGAGAGATGAAGTCTTACTGCTCTTTCACCCAGGCTGGAATGCAATGGCACAATCCTGATTCACTACAGCCTCCACCTCATGGGTTCAAGCGATTCTCCCATCTCAGGGTCCCAAGTAGCTGGGATTACAGGCATATGCCACCACACCCAGCCAATTTTTGTATTTTTAGTAGAGATGTAGTTTCACCATGTTGGCCAGGCTGGTCTTGAATGTCTGACCTCATGATCCATCTGCCTTGGCCTCCCAAAGCGCTATGTATCATGAAAGTTCTGAGAATGGGTGCTAGGTATGTCTAGCAATTGTAGTTATAACATAGTTCAGCTCCTGAAATGACAGAAATGATAGCAGACTGTCACATGCCTAGCTTTCTCGATTCATTTGGATGTTGTGTTCTAAATTAAAATTTTTTTTTGTTTTTTTTTTTGTACAGACAGGGGTCTTGTTTGGTGCCCCAGTTAGACTTGAACTCCTGGCCTCAAGTGATCCTCCCACCTCAACCTCCAAAGTGATGAGATATAGACATGAGCCACCATGTCTGGCATCTGGATTTTTTTTTGTCTTTGCTGTCAGTAGATCATCCAGCTATGCTGCTTTTGTGATTTTTGTGATCAGAAACAATGTTGGCTGGGCACGGTGGCTCAGGCCTGTAATCCCAGCACTTTGGAAGACCGAGGTGGGCAGATCACCTGAGGTCAGGAGTTTGAGACCAGCCTGGCCAGTGAAACCCTGTCTCTAATGAAAGTACAAAAAATAGCCAGGCATGCTGATGGGCTCATGTAGTCCTAGCTACTTGGGAGGCTGAGGCAGGAGAACTGCCTGAACCCAGGAGACGCAGGTTGCAGTGAGCTGAGGTCTTGCCACTGTACTCTAGCCTGGGCAACAGAGTGAGACTCTGTTTCAAAAAAAAAAAAAAAGAAAGAAAGAAAGGAAAAGAAACAAACAACCTAGAATTCTTACAATTATATAAAATTGATCTGTAAGCAGCATTGAATATTTGACATTTTACCATTTGTGTCAGTGTATTTGTTGCCTGTTTTAAATTGCTAGAGGGCAGGGATCTTCTCTTATGAATAATTTTATGTAACACCTAACACAATCATGCATATTAAGGAACTCAGAGAAATAGCATTTTCAGTTGATAACAATGAGATACTATTTATTCACCTTAAACTGGTGCTTTCCTGAAGTATTAGACTTAGAGATATAGGGAAAAAAACTAAAAGTGCTTTTTTCCCCTCTACTCTTTACTTAACACAGAACATTCTGGCCAGGTGCAGTGGCCAATGCCTGTAATCCTACCCCTTTGGGAAGCCAGCGTGGGCAGATCACCTGAGGTTAGGAGCTCGAGACCAGCCTGGCCAACATGGTGAAACCCTACTTCTACTAAAAATACAAAAATTAGCTGGATGTGGTGACAAGCACCTGTAACCCCAACTACTTGGGAGGCTGAGGCAGGAGAATTGAAACTGGGAGGTGAAGGTTGCAGTGAGCCAAGATCATGCCACTGCACTCCAGGCTGGGTGACAGAGTGAGACTCCATCCCAGAAAAAAAAAAAAAAAAGAACTTTCTGTCACCCTAGATGTGTGTGGGTTGTTTCTTCACACATGAAGCAAGCAATTCTGCTGCTACTCTCCAGCAGACACCAGCTTAGTGTCCTCTAATTCAATTCTGATGCTGTTTACCTGGAAATAGTGCTAGACCCCACAGGTTGAGGGCTCAGTCCCACAAGAGGGTAGTCTTGTGGGACTGAGGCCTCAACCTGAATATTATGAAAGATACAAAAGATACAGATAAGCTGTATCTTTATTGCAAAAGATACAGATAAACTGTCAGATTGAAGAGATACATAGGGCAAGGAATGGGGGAAGGAGTCCACCACCCCCCAGGAACCTCCCCCTGCTCAGCTATCTGAAAGCCCTGTGAATTTTTTTTTTTTTTTTTTTTTTTTGAGATGGAGTCTCACTCTGTAGCCCAGGTAGCGTGATCTTGGCTCATGCAACCTCCGCCTCCTGGGTTCAAGCGATTCTTCTGCCTCAGCCTCCCAAGTAGCTGTGACTACAGTCGCATGCCATCATGCCCAGCTATTTTTATATTTTTAGAAGAGACAGAGTTTCTCCATATTGGCCACGCTGGTCTGGAACTCCTGACCTTGTGATCCACCTGCCTCAGCCTCCCAAAATGCTGGGATTACAGACATGAACCACTGTGTCTGGCCAGGCCTTTTTCTTAGTGTCTTAAAAACTAAAAAAAAAACAAAAGGTGAGGTGGGGGCCTAATATGGTGGTGCACGCCTATAATCCCAGCACTTTGGGAGGCCAAGATGAGTGGATCCCTTGTGAAATTTCAAGACCAGGCTTGGCAACACAGGGAGACCCCATCTCCATATTAAAAAAATAAACAAACAAAACCTTGGTGCTAGTCTCAGCAGCACATATACTAAGGGAAGGAAGGAAGGAGGGAGGGAGGGTCTAATAAAATGAGATAATTACTAACTCTATGAAAAACAAGAAGTTGTTCAATAAAGAAACAATCCTCCTGACTCAGCCGAGTTATCATTACAGCCATAATAACATACAGACTAGACTGTATTTTTTTTTTTTTTTTTAGATGGAATCTCTCTCTGTTGCCCAGGCTGGAGTGCAGGGGCACAATCTTGGCTCACTGCAACCTCTGCCTCTCAGGTTGAAGCAATTCTCCTGCCTCAGTCTCACATAAATTCTGAATTCTGTCTTGATAACAATTTGTGACATAACTAAGTTGGAAAGACCTAGGGAAGAGCGGATGCTATAAAGGAGCAAAGTCACACAAAATAGAAATTAAAAAAATAAAAATAAAGGAGCAAAATCTTTATGTATCATAATAAAATTGAATAGATAATTTGTAAAACTGAAGAATCAAGAGCCAGGTGCGGTGGCTCAAGCCTGTAATCCCAGCACTTTGGGAGGCCGAGGCGGGTGGATCACGAGGTCGAGAGATCGAGACCATCCTGGTCAAGGTGAAACGCCGTCTCTACTAAAAATACAAAAAATTAGCTGGGCATGGTGGTGTGTGCCTGTAATCCCAGCTACTCAGGAGGCTGAGGCAGGAGAATTGCTTGAACCCAGGAGGCGGAGGTTGCGGTGAGCCGAGATCGTGCCATTGCACTCCAGCCTGGGTAACAAGAGCGAAATTCCGTCTCAAAAAAAAAAAAAAAAAAAAAGAATCAAGAGAAAGCAACAAGCATGTTATTAAAAACAGGAAAATACGGGCCAGGTGCGGGGGCTGATGCCTGCAATCTCAGCACTTTGGTAGGCCAAGGTGTACCGAGTACCAGCTAGGCCAGGAGGCCCCCGACCAGGTGGCACTGATGGCAGTGAAAGGCAGACACTTTGACAGAACAGCAAAGTGAGTCTGTCCCGGGGCCAGCAGCCCATCGAGCTGAGAACCTCAGGGGCTGACAGCATTCTAGGCTGAAGTCCCGCAGCAGCTTCTGATCCACGTTTTTATGCTCTCTTAAACAGGTGATTCTTATTAATAAACAGGTGTTCTGTATTTACTAAAAGCTCAAAAATATACCACGTAGGCAGCTGTTGCCTATCTACCACTAATTGCAAACTAAAAGGTATTCTCCACAAGGGAGCCACTGGGGCAGAGTAAACCTGATGTTTCTCAACAGTAAACTTAGTATTTCTCAACAAAGGTGGGCATACCATTTGAGGTTAGGAGTTTAAGGCCACCCTGGCCAACATGGTGAAACCTGTGTCTACTAAAATTACAAAAATTAGCCAGGCCTAGAGGCCAGTGCCTATAATCCCAGCTACTTGGGAGGCTGAAGCAGGAGTATCCCTTGAACCTGAGAGGCAGAGATTCAGTACAGTAAGCCAAGAGATCACACCACTGCACTTCAGCCTGGGCAACAGGGCTAGATCCTGTCTCAAATTAAAAAAAAAAAGGTGGGTGGTGCCGGACACAGTGGCTCAAGCCTGTAATCCCAGCACTTTGGGAGGCCGAGGCGGGTGGATCACAAAGTCAAGACATCGAGACCATCCTGGTCAACATGGTGAAACCCCGTCTCTACTAAAAATACAAAAAATTAGCTGGGCATGGTGGCGCGTGCCTGTAATCCCAGCTACTCAGGAGGCTGAGGCAGGAGAATTGCCTGAACCCAGGAGGCGGAGGTTGCGGTGAGCCGAGATCATGCCATTGCACTCCAGCTTGGGTAACAAGAGCTAAACTCTGTCTCAAAAAAAAAAAAAAAAAAAAAAAAAAAAAGGAAGAAACAGCAAAATAGCAGAAACAACATTTCAATGTAGTTGACTCCCCTAATGTTTGTAAAAGTGTTTTTTAAAGTGTAAGGTACTGCACAAATATAACAATCCTGTTACTCAACTCTTTGATCTCGTTGGGGGAAAACACGTCCATTAATTTGCTTGTAGTCACAGAAAGGAGAGCTGTAGGCCAGGTGCGGTGACTCATGCCTGTAATCCCAGCACTTTGGGTGGCTGAGTGGGCTCATCACCTGAGGTCAGGAGTTCGAGACCAGCCTGCCCAACATGGTGCAACCTCGTCTCTACTAAAAAGACAAAAATTAGCTGGGCAGAGTAGCTCACGCCTGTAGTCCTAGCTACTCGGGAGGTTGAGGCACAAGAATCACTTGAACCTGGGAGGCAGAAATGGTGTCACTGCACTCTAGCCCATGCAACAGAGCGAGACTCTCGTCTCAAAAAGAAAAAAAGAAAAAGGACACCTGTAGCCAACTCCATGTCCCCTCTGATAACCAGAAAACCAAAGGGGCAAAGGGGACAATTTAGGAAATAAGCTAGAACTGCCCAGGCCTGTGTTACCAGGAAGTCTACTCTCTTTTGTTTTGGTAGATGTAAGTTTTGGGTTGTTTTAAGTAATTCATGCTGCTAATTCAAACCTAGTCATCTGAAAGCTAAGGTTGGCTAGATGCAGTGGCTCATGCCTGTAACCCCAGCATTTTGCAGTTAGGCTGACTCAGAAGGATCACTGGAGACCAGGAGTTTGAGACCAGCCTAGGCAACATGGGGAGACCACATCTCTGGGAAAAAAAAAAAAAAGTAAAGGAAGAAGGACCCAAACACTATCCATCCTCTAGCTATTCTTCAAGGCTAACTACAAACTTTTAGAAAATATCATCCAGGCACGGTGGCTTACGCCTGTAATCTCAGCACTTTGGGAGGCCAAGGTGGGTGGATCACCTGAGGTCAGGAGTTTGAGACCAGCCTGACCAGTAACATAGTAAAACCCCATCTCTACTAAAAACACAAAAATGAGCCAGGTGTGGTGGTGCATGCCTGTAGTCCCAGCTACCTAGGAGGCTGAGGCAGGAGAATTGCTTGAACCCAAGAAGCAGAGGTTGCAGTGAGCCGAGATCGCACCATTATACCCCAGACTGTGTGACAGAGCAAGACTCTGTCTCAAAATAATAATAATAATAATAATGTTAATGATACTGGAGACTCTCATCTGACATCTCCCAGGTCCAGGGAAACTAAAATGATGTGGTGAGAAACCTACTGTGGAAAACTACCACCCTAGAGAAGAAAAGACACTCTTCATAGAACTAAGGTGATAGGACAGAGCTGGGAAAGACCTCCAGCAAAGCCTGTGAGACAGCACTGATGGCTCTAACAGTGAACCTATTCTTTCCACTGAGCTTTAAAAAAAAAAAAGTGAGGCCGGGCGCGGTGGCTCAAGCCTGTAATCCCAGCACTTTGGGAGGCCGAGGCGGGTGGATCACAAGGTCGAGAGATCGAGACCATCCTGGTCGACACGGTGAAACCCCGTCTCTACTAAAAATAAAAAAAAAAAATTAGCTGGGCATGATGGCGCGTGCCTATAATCCCAGCTACTCAGGAGGCTGAGGCAGGAGAATTGCCTGAACCCAGGAGGCGGAGGTTGCGGTGAGCCGAGATCGCACCATTGCACTCCAGCCTGGGTAACAAGAGCGAAACTCCGTCTCAAAAAAAAAAAAAAAAAAAAAAAAAGTGAATCCATAAGGAGATAGAAGCTCTTTCCTTTTGAAAAGAATAAGTTGAGTACCAGGAGAAGGAAGAACATTCCAACAAGTTACCTAACAATGACACTAGGGTGGCAGAAAGAAGACAATTCATAGATCTAACAGTGTGCCAGGTGCAGTGACCTATCCCTATAATCCCAGTGACTAGGGGGACTAAGGCAAGAGGATTACATGAGGCCAGGAGTTTGAGATCAGCCTGGGTACACAGCAAGAGCCCATCTCAGAAAAACAAAGCTTGGTGTGGTAACACTTATCTGTAGTCCCAGCTACTCAGGAGGCTGAAGTGAGAGGATAGACAGCATGAGCCCAGAAGTTCAGTGCTGCAGTGAACTATGATCTGCACTGTGGCCTGGGTGACAGAGTGAGACCCTATCTCTAAAATATAATTTTCAAAAAGAAAGAAAAAAAAATCTACCAGTGGCTCTGTAATTACTTCAAAATAAAAAGTTTTCAGAAGTCTTTTACCTGCAGCCAGCACAGTTTCCCATGGCGACACACATTCACTCCTTCTGCTGCCACGCTCAGGACACTCTGCTTCTTGATGTGGAGCATCTGGTAAGAAAAAGAAGGAAAGAAAAACATTTCAGGGAATAAATGTTGGCATCATAACATCATGATTGGCACAATTACAATGGCTACAGTAAACAAAGTGCATAATCTTTGTTAAACTTACAAAATTTGATTAATACAAAACAGTCTGTTTCACATACACACATATATCAGCACTCAACACTTCTGATTCTCTTTTTAGTTTTAGGAAAAGTGTTCCACAGCCAGAAAATAAATCACTCATATATCAAATGACAATAAAAGTTGAAAACTCAGACATGTTTTGTTACTACTGATGCGACAGAGAAAGAATCATAATCTGTTTGGTTTTTTTAAAATTGAGGTAGAGTTTCACTCTTGTTGCCCAGGCTGGAGTGCAATGGTATGATCTTGGCTCACTACAACCTCCAACTCTGGCATTTAAGTGATTGTCCTGACTCAACCTCCCAAGTAGCTGGGATTACAGGTGTGTACTGCCATGCCCAGCTAAATACAAAAGTATATATATAGAGAAAAGTATATATAGAGAAGGGGTTTCACTATGTCGGTCAGGCTGGTCTCGAACTCCTGATCACAAGTGATCCACTCGTCTCGAACTCCCAAAGAGCTGGAATTACAGGCATGAGCCATTGCGCCCAGCCCTGAATTATAATCTTTCTTTAAGACAAGATTCCTCATGCAAACTATGGCATGCTGTAACACAGGGCAATTCTGAAAGAAATATATGTGGTGGCTAAGTCTCAGAGTATCCACTGCTCAGAAAGACAGAAACAAGGACTCTTCAGATGCCTTAAAACCTCAGATTCACTGAATTACTCAAAACTAAATTAGTGGCCAAGTGCAGTGGCTCACCCCTGCAATTCCAGCACTTTGGAAGGCTGAGGCAGGAGGATCGCTTGACCCCAGGGGTTTGAGGCCAGCCTGAGCAACACAGTGTCTCTATAAAAAATACAAAAAATTATTCAGGCATGGTGGTGCACACCTGAAGTGTAGCCCCAGCTACTCTGGAGGCTAAAGTGGGAAGGTCACTTGAGCCTGGGAGGCTGAGGCTGCAGTGAGCCATGATGATGCACTTCAGCCTGGGTGACAGAGTGAAACTCTGTCAAAAACAAACAAACACAAAAAAACTGAAATAGTGGTACCCCAGGTACACAATCTTGTCCTTTGATTGTTTATAATCTTAGCCTGTTTCATTACAGAATTCTAAAATCCTTAATCCATAATTCATAAAAATGTTTGCATGACACAAGATTCTTCCCATTTTATAGGTAGGTAAATTATTCAAGAACAGAAAGGCACAGTAATTTACACTAGCACGATATCTCCCTTTAGAGAGCATAAAGTGTTCTACATTCTTTTTATTATTTTTTATTTTTATTATTATTTTATTTTATTTTTAAAGATGGGGTTTCACCATATTGGTCAGGCTGGTCTCGAACTTCTGACCTTAGGTAATCCGCTCGCCTCAGCCTCCCAAAGTGCTGGGATTACAGGCGTGAGCCACCGCGCCTGGCAAGTGTTCTACGTTCTTTTTTTTTTTTTTTTTTTTTTTTTGAGACGGAGTTTCGCCCTTGTTACCCAGGCTGGAGTGCAATGGCACGATCTCGGCTCACCGCAACCTCCGCCTCCTGGGCTCAGGCAATTCTCCTGCCTCAGCCTCCTAAGTAGCTGGGATTACAGGCACGTGCCACCATGCCCAGCTAATTTTTTGCACTTTTGGTAGAGACGGGGTTTCACCATGTTGACCAGGATGGTCTCGATCTCTCGACCTCGTGATCCACCCGCCTCGGCCTCCCAAAGTGCTGGGATTACAGGCTTGAGCCACCGCGCCCGGCAAGTGTTCTACATTCTAAGCATCTCTCATCAATGATGAGAAAATGGGACTGAATTTCAGCTTCATCCCCAATCAACAAAAGATGGCTGCAGAAAGGGCAACAACAGCTAAATTTTTTATTGATGAAAACTCTTAATGACCTCTTCAAACTTCCAGAGTAAAAGCTTTTTTGTTTTGTTTTGTTTTGTTTTTGAGACGGTCTCATGCTGTTCCCCAGGCTGGAGTGCAGATCACAGCTCAATGCAGCATGGAACTCCTGGGCTCAAGCTAACCTCCTATTTTAGCTTCCTGAAGCCTCGACCTCCCAGTCTCAGCCAATCCGCTCACCTCACCCTCCCGGGTAGCTGGAACTACAGACATGTGCCACCATGCCCAGCCAATTTTTTGTATTTTTCTGTAGAGGTAGGGTTTTGCCTTGTTGCCCAGGCTGGTCTCTAACTCTTGGGCTCAAGTGATCTGCCTGCCTTGGCCTCCAAAAGTGCTGGTATTACAGGAGTGAGCCACCATGCCTGGCCACAAGTTCCTTTTTTTTTTTTTTTTTTTTTTTGAGATGGAGTTTCGCTCTTGTTACCCAGGCTGGAGTGCAATGGCACGATCTTGGCTAACCGCAACCTCCGCCTCCTGGGTTCAGGCAATTCTCCTGCCTCAGCCTCCTGAGTAGCTGGGATTACAGGCACGGACCACCATGCCCAGCTAATTTTTTGTATTTTTAGTAGAGGTGGGGTTTCACCATGTTGACCAGGATGGTCTCGATCTCTTGACCTCATGATCTACCCGCCTCGACCTCCCAAAGTGCTGAGATTACAGGCTTGAGCTACCACACCTGGCCTGCCTGGCCACAAGTTCTTATTTTTGTTATGGTCCCTTTAAATAATCTGCTTATACATATATAATTCTTACAGCTCAATGATAAAAATAATTATTACAATGCAATTAAAAAATGGGAAAAGGTTTGGGCACAGTGGCTCATGCCTGTAATTAGGCTGAGGAGGACAGATTACTTGAGCCTAGGAGTTAGAGACCAGCCTGGGCAACATAGTGAGAAACTGTCTCTACACGAAATACAAAAATTAAAGCTGGGTGTGGTGGCTCACGCCTGTAATCCCAGTACTTCAGGAGGCTGAGGAAGACAGATTGCTTGAGTCTAGAAGTTCAAGACCAGCTTGGGGAACATAGCAAGACCTCATCTCTTAAAAAAAAAAATGAGCCGGGTGCGGTGGCTCAAGCCTGTAATCCTAGCACTTTGGGAGGCCGAGGCGGGTGGATCACGAGGTCAAGAGATCGAGACCATCCTGGTCAACAAGGTGAAACCCCGTCTCTACTAAAAATACAAAACATTAGCTGGGCATGGTGGCACGTGCCTGTAATCCCAGCTATTCAGGAGGCTGAGGCAGGAGAATTGCCTGAACACAGGAGGCGGAGGTTGCGGTGAGCCGAGATCACGCCATTGCACTCCAGCATGGGTAACAAGAGCGAAACTCCATCTCAAAAAAAAATGAGTTGGGCATGGTGGTACATGTAGTCCCAGTTACTCAGAAGGCTGTGGTGGGAGGATCGCTTGAGATCCTAGGAGGTGGAGGTTGCAGTGAGCCAAGATCTTGCCACTGCACTCCAGCCTGAGCTACAAAGTGAGACTGTCTCAAAAGGCAAATGATCTAAATAGATATTTATCCAAAGAAGTTATACAAATGACTAGTAAGCTCATAGAAATGTTGAACATCATTAGCCATCAGAGAAATGCAAATCAAAACTACAATAAGATACCACTTCATACCCACTAGGATGGCTATAATCAAAATTACAGATAAGTGTTGGCAAGGATGTGAAGAAACTGGAACCCTCACAGACTTCTGGTAGAAATGTAAAATGGTGCAGCAGCTTTGGAAATAAAGTCTGGTCATTCCTCAAAAAAGTTAAACACAGAGTTACCAAATGATCTAGCAATTTCACTCCTAGGTAACTATCAAAAGAAATAAAAACGTCCAGACAAAAACTTGTCCATGAAAGTTTATAGTAGCATTATTCACAATAGCCAAAAAGTAGAAACAACCCAAATGTCCATCAAATGATGAGTGGATAAATAAAATGTAGTATATCCATACAATGGAATATTTTTTGGTGGCTGGTTGTGGTGACTCACGCCTGTAATTCCAGCACTTTGGGAAGCCGAGGCAAGTGGATTGCTCGAGCCCAGTAGTTTGAGACGTCTCAGCAACATAACTAGACACTGTCTCTACAAAAAATATTTAAAAATTGGCTAGCTGTTGTGGCACATGCCTGTAGTCCCAACCACCTGGGAGGCTAAGGTGGGAGGACTGCTTGAGCCTAGAAGGTCCAGGCTATAGTCAACTGTGATTCTGTCACTGCATTCCAGCCTGGGTGACAGAGAAAGACCCTGTCTCAAAAAAAATTTTTTTTTAATGTATAAGAAATATTATTTGGCAATAAAAAGAAGTGAAGGCCAGGCGCAGTGACTCATGACTATAATCCCATCACTTTGGGAGGCTGAGGTGGGTGAATCACAGGATCAGGAGTTCAAGACCAGCCTGGCCAAGACGGTGAAAAAAGAAGTGAAATACTGATATAAGCTACAATATGGATGAACCTTGAAAACATTATGCTAAGTAAATAAAGCCTGTCAGAAAAACTACTATTTTACTTTATTTTATTTTATTTATTTTGAGACAGAGGTTTGCTCTGTCTTCTGGGCTGGAGTACGGTGGCATGATCTCGGCTCACTATAACCTCCATCTCCTCCTGGCTGAGCCTTCCCAGTAGCTGCGACTACAGGTACCCACCACCACACCTGGCTAATGTTTGTGTTTTTGGTAGAGACGGGGTTTCACCATTAATGGCCAGGCTGTTTTAGTGGTTGCCAGGGGCTGAGGAGTGATTAGGAGTTATGAATAAGGTGTGTGGGGTTTCTTTCTGGCATATTGAAAATATTCTAAAATTTATTATGCTGTTTTACATACAACTCTGTGAATATACTAAAAACAAATGAACTGTTTAACTAAATAAATTGTATGGCATATGGATATCTCAATAATTTTTTATAAAACTTTTTGTTTTTATTATTTATTTATTATTTTATTTTGTTTTATTTTTTTTGGGACAGAGTTTTGCTCTTGTTACCAAGGCTGAAATGCAATGGTGTGATCTCGGCTCACTGCAACCTCCGCCTCCTTGGTTCAAGCAGTTCTCCTGCCTCAGCCTCCCGAGTAGCTGGGACTACAGGTGCGCGCCACCATGCCCAGCTAATTTTTGTATTTTTTAATAGAGACAGGGTTTCACCTTGTTGACCAGGATGATGTAAATCTCTTGACCTTGTGATCTACCCGCCTTGGCCTCCCAAAGTGCTGGGATTATTGGTGTGAGCCACCGTGCCCGGCCTCAAAACTTTTTGTTTTAAAATAATTTTTTAAAAATTTATTTTAAAATTTCAAATAATTGTTTAAAAAAAATCTTCTGTTCAGTTCAGACTTAGTTAAAAAATAACCTGTTGATAGCTAATTCTCCTTTTAAAAATCTACCCATGGGCCAGGCAGAGTGGTTCATGCCTGTAACCCCAGCACTTTGGGAGGCCGAGACAGGCAGATCACCTGAGCTGAGGAGTTTGAGACCAACCTGGCCAACATGGTGAAACCCCATTTCTACTACTAAAAATACAAAAATTAGCTGGGTGGTGGTGCACACCTGTAATCCCAGCTACTTAGGAGGCTGAGGCAAGAGAATCACTTGAATCCAGGAGGCAGAGGTTGTGGGGAGCCAAGACTGGCCTACCAAACTCCTGCCTAGGCTACATGGTGGGACTCCATTTCAAAAAAAAAAAAGGTCAAGTCGAATGATGGAAGAAAAAAAAAAATGCATCCATGTACACACAAACATAAGTTTGCATCTATACAGAAATCTCAATGACCTTGCTGAAGCCCATCTGTGAACCACACTACAGGATACTTGCTGCCATTTCTCAAATTAATACAAGACTAATAGAGTAATTGCCTAAGTATAGTATCCTATGTGACACTTTTAGAATGTAAGTCAGACTGGACGCGGTGGCTCACACCTGAAATCCCAGCAATTTGGAAGACTGAGGCGGGCAGATCCTCTGAGGTCAGGAGTTTGAGACCAGCCTAACTAACGTGGTAAAAACGCGTCTCTACTAAAAACACAAAATTAGCTAGGCATGGTGGCACATGCCTGTAATCCCACCTACTTGGGAGGCTGAGGCAAGAGAATCACTTAAACCCAGGAGGCAGAGGTTGTAGCGAGCTGAGATCGTACCATTGCACTCCAGTCTGGGCAACAAGATCAAAACCCTGTCTCAAAAAAAAAAAAAAAAAAATTCTGACTCTTCTCTGAAACTGCCAATGGCTTTCCATGTCACTCAAGTCAAATTCAAAGTCTTTACAACGTCCAGAAAGCCTTAAATGAACTGCCTCCTGCCCCCTTCCATCTCCTACCATTCTTCTTCACTGTGGTCCTGTCACACTGACCTCCCTGCTGTACTTCCACACAAGTCAGGAATATTTCAGCCTCAGGGCCTTTGCACTTGCTAATTTCACTTTTAAGTTCTTCACTTTGGTATCTACCTGGCTCCCTTACTTACTCAAGTCTTTGTTCTAATGTCACTTCCTCAGATATGTTTTCTCTGCCTATCCCACATAAATTAGGACCTCCTTGTCACTCTAGTCCCCATACCATGTGTTTTTTTCTCCCTTCCCAACCCTCACCATACTTTATTTTTATTCCCAAAACTTACTAACACCTAAAATATAATAAATTGTTTATTGTCTTGCATTAGAATATAAGCTCCTTGAGGGCTGGAACATTGTCTTATCTTGATTATTGTTTACCCCAGATCTCAGAACAGTTCCTGGCATATAGCAGCCACCAAATATTTTCTTGAATTAATAGAAAAAAAAAATAAAAAATCTTTTTTTTTTAAAGTCATCCTTGGGAGAGCAAAAAATCTTATGATAAAGAAATGTATGAGACACAGACATGATACCTACATGCAGGTAATACTAGTAATGATTGAGGACAATACTTACTGCAGCACCAAACTTCTGCTGGAATTGATCAATGACTGTGTATGTCACCTCCTCTTCCTCTACAGGACAAAGGTGGCATTAGATATATTTCTATTCTTCAGCAACAAAATAGCTCTCCCACTAATTTTGGCTATGCGCATATATTCCTACTCTATTGCAACTCAAATGTCTAATATTATTTCATTATCACCTGCATTAGCCCATTACACAGTGAACACTAATTAACATCTTCTTTGTCAAGTGAGAGTAAACAAAAGCCCCACCAATTGAACTGTTTACATGTCCTGTGATAATCCAGTAATGTTCCTCTCCTTATAGGTTTATATCTTGAATATTTCAAAGAATACACTATGAGATGAGTTTCCCTCTTGTCACCCAGGCTGGAGTGCAATGGTGCAATCTCTGCTCACTGCAACCTTTACCTCCTGGGTTCAAGCGATTCTCCCATTTTAGCCTCCTGAGTAGCTGGGATTACAGGGGCCTGCCACCACACCCAGCTAATTTTTGTGTTTTTAGTAGAAACAGGGTTTCACTATGTTACCCAGGCTGGTGTCGAACTCCTGACCTCAGGTGATGTGCCTGACTCAGCCTCCCAAAGTGCTGGGATTACAGGTATGAGCTACCACATCCGGCCAAAATTTTTAAATATTTTCTTTAAATTGAGATGATGTTTCACCATGTTGCCCAGGCAGGACGTGAACTCCTAGGCTCAGGCAATCTGTACAATGCACCCACCTTAGCCCCCTTGAAGTGCTGGGATTACAGGCATAAGCCACCATGCCCAGCCTTATTTTATTATTTTTTTTAGAGAGATGGGATCCCATATGTTGCCCAGGCTGGTCTTGAACTCCTGGCCTCAAACAATCCTCCCACCTTGGCCTCCCTAAGTGCTAGAATTACAGGCGTAAGCACTTGTGCCTGGCCTTGTTTTTTTTTTTTTTTTTTTTTTTTTGAGACGGAGTTTCACTCTTGTTACCCAGGCTGGAGTGCAATGGCGCAATCTCGGCTCACCGCAACCTCCGCCTCCCGGGTTCAGGCAATTCTCCTGCCTCAGCCTCCTGAGTAGCTGGGATTACAGGCACGCGCCACGATGCCCAGCTAATTTTTTGTATTTTTAGTAGAGACGGGGTTTCACCATGTTGACCAGGCTGGTCTCGATCTCTTGACCTTGTGATCCACCCGCCTCGGCCTCCCAAAGTGCTGGGATTATAGGCTTGAGCCACCGCGCCCGGCCCTTTTTCTTTTTTTTTTTTTGAGACGGAGTTTCACTCTTGTTACCCAGGCTGGAGTGCAATGGCACTATCTCGGCTCACCGCAACCTCCGCCTCCTGGGTTCAGGCAATTCTCCTGCCTCAGCCTCCTGAGTAGCTGGTATTATAGGCATGTGCCACCATGCCCAGCTAATTTTTTGTATTTTTAGTAGAGACGGGGTTTCACCATGCTGACCAGGATAGTCTCGATCTCTCGACCTCGTGATCCACCCGCCTCGGCCTCCCAAAGTGCTGGGATTACAGGCTTGAGCCACCGCGCCCGGCCAGCCTTGTTGTTTATTTTCCTTGAGACAGAGTCTTGCTCTGTCGCCAGGCTAGTGTGCAATAGCATAATCTCAGCTCACTGCAACTGCCACCTCCTGGGTTCAAGTGATTCTCCTGCCTCAGCCTCCCAAGCAGCTAAGATTATAGGCATATGCCACCACACCTGGCTAATTTTTATATTTTTAGTAGAGATGGGGTTTCACCATGTTGGCCAGGATGATCTCAATCACTTGACACTTGACCTTATGATCCAGCAGCCTTGGCCTCCCAAAGTGCCAGGATTACAGGCATGAGACCCTAGCCTGCTTTGTTTTTTTTGTTTTTTTTTTTTTTTTTTTTTTTTTTTGAGACGGAGTTTTGCTCTTGTTACCCAGGCTGGAGTGCAATGGCGCGATCTCGGCTCACCGCAACCTCCGCCTCCTGGGTTCAGGCAATTCTCCTGCCTCAGCCTCCTGAGTAGCTGGGATTACAGGCACGTGCCACCATGCCCAGCTAATTTTTTCTATTTTTAGTAGAGACGGGGTTTCACCATGTTGACCAGGATGGTCTCGATCTCTCGACCTTGTGATCCACCCGCCTCGGCCTCCCAAAGTGCTGGGATTACAGGCTTGAGCCACCGCGCCCGGCTGCTTTGTTTTTAATAAAAGCAAACAAACAAAAAACCTCCAAGGGTTCCTCATCTCACTTCAGAGTAAAAGTTTAACTCCCAGTTGGGCATGGTGGCTCATGCCTGTAACCCCAGCACTTTGAGAGGCCAAGACAGATGGATCTCTAGATCAGGAGTTTTGAGACCAGTCTGGCTAACATGGTGAAACCCCGTCTCTACTAAAAATACAAAAAAGGTGTCTACTAAAAATACAAAAAAAAAATTAAAAATTTTTTTTTTGTATTTTTAGTAGAGACACCTATAGCCCCAGCTACTCAGGAGGTTGAGGCAGGAGAATCACTTGAACCTGGGAGGTGGGAGGTTGCAGTGAGCCAAGATCAAGCCACAGCACTCCAGCCTGGGGGACAGAAAAAAGTTTAAGTCCTCGCAATGCTTTAAGAACTCCTCTTTGACTCACCTGTTCCATCTCATGTACTGCTTCTCTCCCTGCTCCAGCTGCTCTGATCTCCTTGCTGTTCTTTCAAGACCCTGGTATGTTCCTATCTCAGTGACTTTATATTTGCTTTTTTTTTTTCCCCAGCCTAAAGCACATTTCCCCAAGATATCCGTAGAGCTTGGTCCCTCACCTCCTTCAGATCTTTACACAAATATTATCATTTCAGCAAGACTTGTCCTGGATACCCTAAAATTGCAAAACCACCATCCCTACGTATTACTTCTCTTTTATTTTTTTCCTCCTTAGCATTTGACACTATTACACTATATATTTTATTTATTTATATTATTTAGCATCTGTATGCTGCTCAATAAGGGGAGGGATACCATACTTCAGAATCCCCAATGAATGAATATGCCCCAATAAATGAGTGCACACGCAGTATGAACTCAATTATTAAATTAAAAAGTAAATCACAGTATTTTATCTTAATTCAGAACCCAGAAGCAATGGCTCAGCTAAGCATTCTATAGAGCATCTTGATTCAGGGTTATACCAACCCTAAACAGTGAAGAGAGTCTAGTTGAATTTGACTGACTTGGTTTCAAAAAAAGGAGAGCCTAGAAAATTCAGAGCTGCTGTACTCACCTGATGGGCTGTACTTGAGGTCATTCAGCAGAGAGGTAGTTGGTGCTTCAGGGGCAGGAGAAACAGACTCACATACATTTAGGACTTCAACTTTCATTTTCTCCATCCCAGTTCTTTCTGCATTTAGACTATCCTTACAAGAAACAACATCCAGATGGACTTGTTCTTTGTTGCTGATGCCACACACAGATTCTGCCACACATTAACGTTAAGGGCTGTGGTCCTTCATTAACCAGAGGACCCATTCATCCACTGCTTACATTGATTTGAGGGTGCTATCTAACATGGATGAACACACACACACACACACACACACACACACACTCACACACACTTTTTTTTTGATACGGAGTCACACACTGTCACCCAGGCTGGAGTGCAATGGTGCGATCTGGGCTCACTGCAACCTCCACCTCCTGGATTCACTCGATTCTCCTGCCTCAGCACACTACCACATCCAGCTAATTTTTTGTATTTTTAGTCAAGATGAGGTTTCACTATGTTGGCCAGCCTGGTCTCGAACTCCTGACCTAGTGATCTGCCTACCTCAGCCTCCCAAAGAGCTGGGATTACAGGCCTGAGCCACCGCGCCCAGCCTATATATCTCTTCTCATTTACATTTCCTCATGCCAAGGAATTAAGCAGCTAGTGAATTAGAGTTAATGCTTTCTTCCCTAATGTGCACATTTGGGAAACATCATAAGAAAATGATTCCATCTTACCTAACAGATGATGTGTTTTCTCTCACTGAGCCTTGTTCCACTTCATCTAGTAGTTCCACTGTAAAATAACCAAATGGCTTCCAACAGAGTCTCCAATCTGAAATAAATTAACTACTCTGCTACCCACACATCCCCAGTTTAACCATGTACTGCAATAATTGGAAATGAAATGTTAGTCTATAGAGGCTTTTACTGGCCAGCAATAAACACAACAGAAAAGACTATCTAAGGTGTCAAAGACTCTCAATATTACATCCCTACAAAGCTTCTGGATTATTTAGAAGGATTAGGAACCTTTCTATGTATCTCCTTCACCCTTTTTCTTCTAGGGTAGCTTTGTGGTCATTCAAATTAGTTCTAGACATTTCTTTCCCACTCATCCTAATCTTAATGCACCTCCTCTCACATGGTACACTGTTTGAGGGTTTTCTCTTAAATTATTCACAAATCTGTCCCTAGCACTCTCACAGGCTAGCACATTAAAAGTTCAGTGACATGAAAGGTAATGAAGGCTTTAATGGAAATACCAAAAGAAGTATGAGAGAAATATTCCATGGAGATTGTGAAATATTTTTGTTTTTAACCTAATTATGCAGGAAATGTAGAATACTATATTCCACTGATTCTTATTTTTGAGATGGAGTCTCACTCTGTCACCTAGCCTGGAGTGCAGTGACCTGATCTCAGCTCACAGCAACTTCTGCCTCCCTGGGTCAAGCAATTCTTGTGCCTAGGCCTCCTAAATAGCTGGAATTACAGGTATGCTCCACCATACCTGGCTAATGTGTTCTGCTGATTCTAAGATACACATTTTAAACACCTGAAAATAGTCTGTTGGTTCTAGACCCATGTAACATGTATTAAGAAAAATTAAATAGAATAAACATCTGAAATTTGATGTGATTACAAGAAACTTTAATTGACAGCTTCTTTTTCTTTCTTACAATGCAAAAAGGAATAGTGTGCCTTATAATTAATGGCATCTTACATTCAATGAAGTATATTTAGCTACTTTTTTTTTTTTTTTTTTGAGACAGAGTCTTGGGCTCTATCTCCAGGCTGGAGTGCAGTGGCGCAATCTCTGCTCACTGCAACTTCCGCCTCCCAGGTTCAAGCGATTCTCCTGTCTCAGTCTCCCGAATAACTGGGACTACAGGTGTGCACCACCACTCCCAGCTAATTTTTAAATTTTTAGTAGAGACAGGGCTTCACCATGTTGGCCAGAATGGTCTCCATCTCTTGACCTGGTGGTCTGCCCATGTCAGCCTCCTAAAATGCTAGGATTACAGGCGTAAGCCACCGCGATCAGCCTCACTAAGGTACTTTTCCAGCAAAAAGCCTCTATGTTTCAAATGTCTCTTTTCTCTGAACTATCTAGAAGTATTGAATCTGGGGCAGAGAAAAGGTAAAATTGACTAAAAAAATTGCTGATTAGCCATGATTATCCTTCATCTTGACAATTTTTTTTTTTTTTTGAGATGGAATCTTGCTGTGTGGGCAGGCTGGAGTGCAATAGCACAATCTTGGCTCACTGCAACCTCCAACTCCCTGGTTCAAGCAATTCTCTTGCCTCAGCCTCCTGAGTAGCTAGGATTATAGGCACACACCACTATGCCCACCTAATTTATATATTTTTAGTAGAGATGGGGTTTCACCATGTTGGCCAGGATGGCCTCAATCTCCTGACCTTGTGATCTGCCTGCCTTGTCATCCCAAAGTGTTGGGATTACAAGCATGAGCCACCGTGCCTGGTGACAATTCTTATTGAAGGTGCTTTTTGGGGAGACTCGTCCGTCGTTAACTGGGCCACAGAACAAAGGAAGAAATGACTATCATTTGAGCTTAAAAATGAACAAAGCCTATAATTCCAGCACTCTGGGAGGCTGAGGCAGGCAGATCACCTGAGGTCACGAGTTCAAGACCAGCCTGGCCAACACGGAGAAACCCTGTCTCTACTAAAAAAAATTGAAAAATTGGGTTGGGTGCAGTGACTTACGCCTGTAATCCCAGCACTTTGGAGGCTGAGGAGGCAAATCATTTGAGGTCAGGAGTTTGAGACCAATCTGACCAACATGGTGAAACCCTGTTTCTACTAAAAATACAAAAAAATTAGCTGGGTGTGGTGTGGTGGCACATGCCTGTAATCCCAGCTCCTGGGGAGGCTGAGGCAGCAGAATTGCTTGAACCCAGGAGATGGAGATTGCAGTGAGCCAAAACCGTGCCACTACATTCTAGCCTGGGCCAAAGAGTGAGAATCCATCTAAAAATTATATATATATATACATATATATATATATATGCACACACACACACACACACACAAACACACAAGTTAGCCAGGCATGGCGGTGGGTGCCTGTAATCCCAGCTACTCAGAAGGCTGAGGCATGAGAATCGCTTGAACCCTGGAGACAAGGGTTGCAGTGAGCCAATATCATGCCACTGCACTCCAACCTGAGTGACAGAACAAGACTCCATCTAAAAAAAAAAAAAAGAGGAGCTGGGCGCGGTGGCTCAAGCCTGTAATCTCAGCACTTTGGGAGGCCGAGGTGGGTGGATCACGAGGTCGAGAGATCGAGACCATCCTGACCAACATGGTGAAACCCCATCTCTACTAAAAATACAAAAAATTAGCTGGGCATGGTGGCGTGTGCCTGTAATCCCAGCTACTCAGGAGGCTGAGGCAGGAGAATTGCCTGAACCCAGGAGGTGGAGGTTGCGGTAAGCCGAGATCGCGCCATTGCACTCCAGCCTGGGTAACAAGAGCGAAACTCCATCTCAAAAAAAAAAAAAGGATGAACGAAGGCCAAATCCTGGATAAGAATTTAGGAGGCAATGAATTCCGTGTATACAAATCAAGAAGCTGGTCAGCCATCAGACTTCTCAGTTGGGGAGATGATAGTAGTGATTCCTTCACTTCTCTCTACAAACCCATTCACAGCCTAGCTTTGCTCCAGTCCAGAGCTCTGTTTCACTGCAAAGGCTGATAGTGAAAATACAATTAAGATCTCTAACTACCACCACTATCCCTATCATTATAAAAGAGTATTCAAGGGACTGAGTGTTCATGACAGCATACTCAATGAGAAAGAATAGTTAGGTACCTGATGAGACTTACATTATCTGAAGTGGCTCAGGATTGGCAGTCATTAATTTGATGAGATTTTCATTTCCTCCTAAATTCTAGTTTTCTCACAAAACAAAGCAATCTTTCAAGCAGTAGTGAAGTCTCATTTATAGGAGTCCTTTCCTTTCCTCATATCTGCCCCAAAGTGAGACGTGCACAGCCCTAAGAGGTCCCAGAACTCTCATTCCTCTGCCCCCTCTACCCAGCTCCTGATCTGTACTCCTCCTTAAAGGGCAGAAGCAGAAAGCTCGTGAGTCCTTGAAAGCAAGACATTTATACCTACTCTTTCAGACAATTGTACCTACTCTTGCTAAATGGTTTGTGCTAGCAGAAATAAAGAATAAGGCTGTTTCCTGCCATTTCAAAGTCCAAAAAGCTCTGAAAACCAAAATTTTGTGTAACTTTTCGTGGCAGAACTGGACCTGATATGCTATTTATAGTTTGATTTTATTTCACTTAGTATGATTGTCCACCCATTTCTCTGGAGAAATGTGTTGTATTATAGAGTACTGTATAGTACTGCCCATACTTTCTGGAAGTGTTATGTAATATGAACATTATATATGCTGTTACATTTTCCAAAAGTCCAGAACAATTCTTGATTCTGAGACATCTGGCTCCAAGGTTTTGGATGAGGAATTGTGAATCGACTGTAAAATGGTAGCATTTTATTTTATTTTATTTTATTTTTTTTGAGACGGAGTTTCGCCCTTGTTACCCAGGCTGGAGTGCAATGGCGCGATCTCGGCTCACCGCAACCTCTGCCTCCTGGGCTCAGGCAATTCTCCTGCCTCAGCCTCCTGAGTAGCTGGGATTACAGGCACGTGCCACCATGCCCAGCTAATTTTTTGCACTTTTAGTAGAGATGGGGTTTCACCTTGTTGACCAGGATGGTCTCGATCTCTCGACCTCGTGATCCACCCGCCTCGGCCTCCCAAAGTGCTGGGATTACAGGCTTGAGCCACCGCGCCTGGCGGTAGCATTTTAAATAGCTTGCTTAGCAAGACAATCCCTTCCTGTTCATATTCCTAACTGCCTGCTGGCCCAAGTCGCTAGTGATAAGCACCAACAGATCTGACATTGTAAAACCAAAATGACTATAATTCAGTAAGACTATTATACTCAAAGGGTGCCCACAGAAACAGTAAGAAAAGGGTCACTTCTCAAATACCAACTTTAAGAATTCATAAGTGAAACATTAAAGGCAAGACAATACCCTATTTCATTTCAAATATTGGAATGAGGCACAGAAGTAAGTTTACTACTGCTGGAAATCTTAGTACTAGCATTCAAGGAACATGGGGGTCTCACCATTCACAATCTCATGCCCAAAAAACATCTTCACTCCTGGGACGCTCCGACCTGTCTCCACATTCTTCACTGTTAGAGAAAATAGTTCATTCGGTTAATAACAAATAATAGTTTCCTAAAACTCTATGAAAATATGATTGCCTCTCAAAATTTCCCAAGTCTGAGTTTTATTTAAAAAAAATCTCTAAACTATTTTTCCCAAGGAATGAAGTCAATAATAACAAGTAGTATAAAAACAAGTCTTTAAATAAGTAGTATAAAAAACAAGGGAAACCCCATTATGTTTCAGGAGAAACTAAAAAGGATAGTATACAGAATTTATAATTCTCCTGAGAATATTCTAAGGCCTTTGCCTTTTTATTTAATTTTACTCAACTCCAGAAAAAAAATTTAAGGCAGCCCATAACTTCTAGTGTCCACACCTGCTTCATGTCATGCTACACACTCAAAAGTATCATTAAGGACAATGATCTAAATCCTGGCTCTCCTACGAGTAGATCAGCAAGTTAGAAGGTTGGGCACCATCTCTACAATGTGCTGTCGTTTTCCTAGATGGAAGTATTCATAGCAGCTGTCTTTTTTCACACCTCTCAGCAATCCAAATAATTGAGTTCCACCCTCACTGTTCCACTGAATATATTCTAAACAGGGTCAAAGATCACCAACTACTTATTTGTCAAATTCAAAAAAATGGGTTTTGCAATCTTATCTTCCTTTACTTTCCTGCAACCTTTGACAATAGTGTTGTTCTCTATTTTCTTTTTAACTCCTGGCCTCAAGTGATCTTCCCACCTCAGCCTTTCAAAGGGCTGGGATTATAGGTGTGAGCCACGGTGCGGGTGTGAGCGAGCGGAACCTTCTCTTCTTTCTTCTTTAGTTGTAAGACACTGTGATTCTTTTCCTACTAATTGCCTAGAACTACCATATTGAGCACCCACTGAGCCAGGCATCATGCTATTTCCTTTTGTTCTTTTATTTATTTAATTATTATTATTATTTTTAGAGAGAGACGGGGTTTCACCATGTTGGTCAGGCTGAAACCTGATCAACGTGATCAGGGGTCAGTCTCGAACCCCTGACCTCGTGATCCGCCCACCTCAGCCTCCCAAAGTGCTGGGATTACAGGCTTGAGCCACTGCGCCCGGCTCCATCTCAATTTTTTAAAAAAGAAAAAAAAATTAATTAAAAAAAATTTTGGGGGGCCGGGCGCAGTGGCTCAAGCCTGTAATCCCAGCACTTTGGGAGGCCGAGGCGGGTGGATCACAAGGTCAAGAGATCGAGACCATCTTGGTCAACAAGGTGAAACCCCGTCTCTACTAAAAATACAAAAAAATTAGCTGGGCATGGTGGTGCGTGCCTGTAATCCCAGCTACTCAGGAGGCTGAGGCAGGAGAATTGCCTGAACCCAGGAGGCGGAGGTTGCGGTGAGCCAAGATCGCGCCATTGCACTCCAGCCTGGGTAACAAGAGCGAAACTCCGTCTCAAAAAAAAAAAAAAAAAAAAAATTTTTTTTTTGGGCTGGGCGCAGTGGCTCAAGCCTGTAATCCCAGTACTTTGGGAGGCTGAGGCTGGTGGATCACGAGGTCAAGAGATCGAGACCATCCCGGTCAACATAGTGAAACCCTGTCTCTACTAAAAATACAAAAAATTAGCTGGGCATGGTGGCGTGTGCCTGTAATCCCAGCTACTCAGGAGGCTGAGGCAGGAGAATTGCCTGAACCCAGGAGGCGGAGGTTGCAGTGAGCTGAGATCGTGCCATTGCACTCCAGCCTGGGTAACAAGAGCAAAACTCCGTCTCAAAAAAAAAAAAAAAAATTTTTTTTTTACAGATGTGGTTTTGCTATGTTGCCCGGGCTCGTATTAAACTCCTGGCCTCAAGCAATTCTGCCTTACCCTCCCAGACAGCTAGGATTATAGTCTTGACCAAGTTTTTTGAGAACAGGGACCACCTTCTTTCTATATGTGTCCCTGGTACCAAGCAGAGTTCCTGAGACACAAAACAATCAATACATGATTACTAAATGAATTAATGTTGCAGAAACCTGTTACAATCCCATCCTAGCCCCTAAAAGTCTATTTTAACTCAAAGTATGACTTAATAACATTAACCTATCAAATGCAATTTATACATGTTTCAATGATGAATCTGAAACTTGTGATACCAGGATACTCTATATATTGAAGCTTCCAGATTACCAGACATGGAGGTACTGGGAGGGTGGCACAACCAAAGAGAACATGGAAATTCCATCTCCCTTTCCCATAAAAAAAAGAAACATTAAATCAGAAAAAAAAATTAACATAAAACTAGCATTTTGGAGGCCATGGAGAATCACTTAAGCCCAGGAGTTTAAGACCAGCCTGGGCAACACAGGGAGATCCTGTCTCTACAAAAAATAAAGATTAAAAAAATTAGCCAGGTGAGGTGTTGTACAAGTGTAGTCCCAGCTACTCAGGAGGCTGAGGTGGGAGAATCACTTGACCCTGGGTAGTTGAGGCTGCAATGAGCCGTGATCACACCATGCCATTGCAATCCAGCCTGAGTAGCAGAGCCTGACTTTGTCTTAAAAAAAAAACAACAAGATTGCCCTATGTATCTCTTGCATTTGCCTGTTCTTGAGCTTTATCCTTTATGATAAACAAGAATTGAAGCTGGGAGGTGTAGAGGCTCTACTGGTGACCATGAGGATAAGAGATGATCACTGACATGGCAGAGCAGGAGCAAAAGGCACCTGGTCTCTGCTGGTGTCTTTCAGCCATTGCACTATTCTTCAGCTGCCTACCTCTGTACTTTTTGTATGAGAAAAATTAACCCCTTACTGTGTGAACTCATCTGCTGAAGTCAAAAGCAATTGTAACTAATGTGGTGGTTATTTTTAATTTCAAAATGCATACGGAAAGAAATTAAAGGGTCGGGCACAGTGGCTTATGTCTGTAATCCCAGCACTTTGGGAGGCTGAGGTGGGCAGATCACCTTAGGTCCTGAGTTTGAGACCAGCCTGGCTAACACAGTGAAACCCTGTCTCTACTAAAAATACAAATATTAGCCAGGCGTGGTGGTGGGCACCTGTAATGACAGCTACTTGGAAGGCTGAGACAGGAGAACTGCTTGAACCTCAAAGACGGAGATTTCAGTGAGCCAAGATGGCACCACTGCACTCCAGCCTGGGTGACAAGAGCAAGAGTCTATCTCAGAGAAAAAAAAAAGGCGGGGCGGGGGGGGGGGCGGGCTGGGCGTGGTGGCTCATGCCTATAATCCCAGCACTTTGGGAGGCTGAGGTAGACAGATCACCTGAGGTCAGGAGTTTGAGATCAGCCTGCCCAACATGGTAAAACCCTGTCTCTATGAAAAATGCAAAAATTAGCCAGGTGTGGTAGCATGCACCTGTAATCCCAGCTACTTGGGAGGCTGAAGCAGGAGAATTGCTTGAACCCAGGAGGTGGAGGTTGCTGTGAGCCAAGATCATGCCACTGTACCTCAGACAGAGCGACAGAGCAAGACGCTATCTCAAAAACAAAAAACAAATTTAAAAAAATGTTTTTTTAATTAAAAAAACTTTTTATATTGAAAATTCCTGCTATCATGTCAAAAATATAGAAGTAGGGACAAACTAGCATATACAGTCACATTATTCTGTTTGGGAAAAACAGTATTCTAACCTTCCTCCCACACCTTCCCTAAAATAGGAATGATGCCACCCTCCCACTTGCTAATGGAGCCTAAACCTATCACTGAAACTCAATCATTAATCTCTTCAAAGGCAGAACATTATGAGAAATAGAACAAGACCTTTCTTCAGGACAACAATCTTGTTACGGTCAACATGCTGAAGCACACCCTCGAAGATGCCACAGACCAACGTGAGTTTCACCCTTCTCCACAAGATCTGGTTGAGGAAATGGTAGTCACTGCTGGGATCCATGCTAATTGATTCCAAAAGCTGTCTTCAAATTACCTTAAGCATCCAAACGCTTGAAAATTAATAAAGAGATCTATGAATTTTAAAATATTTTTAGGGGAACAAAGTTATTTTTCCTTTTCTCATATCTGTAACAGACAAGAAGAATAAAATCTGAATAATTCAGTTCTATTCATCTTTTTGGAATGATGAGAAAAGGATCATTGCAAGCACCAACTCTCATACATAGGAAACTGAAAACCCTAATAAATTGGGCAAGACAGGCTTGGCTTTGTTTTTTTTTTTTGTTTGTTTGTTTTGTTTGTTTTTTTGAGACAGAGTTTCGCTCTTGTTACCCAGGCTGGAGTGCAATGGCACGATCTCGGCTCACCGCAACCTCCGTCATCTCCTGGGTTCAAGCAATTCTCCTGCCTCAGTCTCCCAAGTAGCTGGGACTACAGGTGTGCACCACCATGCCCAGCTAACTTTTTGTATATATAGTAGAGACAGCGTTTCACCATGTTGACCAGAATAGTCTCGATCTCTTGACCTCGTGATCCACCCGCCTCGGCCTCCCAAAGTGCTGGGATTATAGGCATGAACCACCAAGCCCAGCTGCCTTCTTTGTTTTAAAAAATGGGCATGATTGGGCCAGGCACAGCGGCTCACACCTGTAATCCCAGCACTTTGGGAGGCCGAGGCAGGCAGATCACAAGGTCAGGAGATCAAGACCATCCTGGCCAACATGGTGAAACCCCGTCTCTACTAAAAATACAAAAAAATTAGATGGGCATGGTGGCACACGCCTGTAGTCCCAGCTACTCAGGAGGCTGAGGCAGGAGAATTGCTTGAACCCAGGAAGAAGGTGGAGATTGCAGTGAGCTGAGATAATGCCACTGCACTACAGCCTGGGGTGGCAGTGCGAGACTCCATCTCCAAAAGAAAAAAAAAAAAGAGCATGATATCATCTTTCCTTCCTTAGCTAAAAGAAAGAAGCAGAACATTTAGAGGCTTTTTTTTTTTTTTTTTTAAGATGGGGTTTCACCCTGATGGCCAGGCTGGTCTCAAACTCCTGACCTCAGGTGATCCACCCACCTCGGCCTCCCAAAGTCCTAGGATTACAGGCATGAGCCACCGCACCCGGCCTCATTTATAGGCTTTTTAATGGCACAATTATATATCACAACAAAAAAAATGAAAAGAACAAATGAAGAAAAGTTGACATCAGCAGAAATACTTGCCAATACATGCTTCAGTAAATTGTTTAGGGCAGCATAACTACTTGGGCTCATATTTTTGATAACTCTGGTTGAGATTGTAAGGGCATGGTAATTTTTACCAAAACTGAAGCTGATAATTTTAAGTAAAGCAACTAAATTTACCCTTTACATAGGGATTAAAAGGAAATCAAAGCAGGTAGGACAACAGTGGTACACTGGGAAAGAGCTTTTTTTTTCAAATTGTGTTTAATGAATAGAATTTTACAGACTGTTTCCCATAACCTGGGTCTATGCTATCGTATTAATTTTTATGTCTAGGTACTTGACATGTTCCATTTCTTTGTGTTTTATTATTTTCTGCCCTATGACTGTTCTATGCTAAAAGTATTTTAAAATAAAAGCCAAATTGAAGATTCAAAAATAAATTGTTTACCCAGAAATATCTGGATGTACCCTCTTCTGGATGTATCCTTTTCCGGTTTAATAACATTTCCATAGATTGACATTGTTACCAAGCAATCAACATAATTAATGCATAACCAATCCAGTTGCCATGATGTTATTGCAAAGACAATTCCAAGCCACCTGGGCCACAGCTTGGGGATTGGGCTTCATACTGTAATCAACCAGTCATGTGCAGCCTGACAGATGAAACTGCCACATGCCACACACTCAAATGTTTTTGTAAAAATGATACATGTTGCTGGGCGCGGTGGCTCACGCCTGTAATCCCAGCACTTTGGGAGGCTGAGGCTGGGTGGATCACCTGAGGTCAGAAGTTCGAGACCAGACTGACCAATATGGTGAAACCCCGTCTTTGAAAAAAAAAATTAAAAAATAAGAAAAAAAGATGATACATGTCCATTATAAAGAATTACAACAATACAGGCCAGACACAGTGGCTCACACCTGTAATCCCAGCACTTTGGGAGGCCAAAGCAGGCAGATCAATTGAGGCCAGGAATTCAGGACCAGCTTGGCTAACATGGTGAAACCTCATCTCTACTAAAAAGACAAAAGTTATCCACACACGGTGTCCTGGGCCTCTAGTCCCAGCTACTCAGGAGGTTGAGGCAAGAGAATCACTCACTTGAACCCAGGAGGCAGAGGTTGCATTGAGCCAAGATCACGCCACTGCAGTCCAGCCTGGGCAACAGAGCAACGTTCTGTGGTGGCTCAAGCCTGTAATCCAGCACTTTGGGAGGCGGAGGCGGGTGGATCACGAGGTCAAGAGATCGAGATCATCCTGGTCAACATGGTGAAACCCCGTCTCTACTAAAAATACAAAACATTAGCTGGGCATCGTGGCGCGTGCCTATAATCCCAGCAACTCAGGAGGCTTAGGCAGGATTATTCCCTGAACCCAGGAGGCGGAGGTTGCGGCGAGCCGAGATCGTGCCATTGCACTCCAGCCTGGGTAACAAGAGTGACACTCCATCTCAAAAAAAAAAAAAAAAAAAAAAAAGTTATTTTATTTTATTTTATTTATTTATTTTTTTTGAGACAGAGTTTCGCTCTTGTTACCCAGGCTGGAGTGCAATGGCGCGATCTCGGCTCACCGCAACCTCCGCCTCCTGGGTTCAGGCAATTCTCCTGCCTCAGCCTCCTGAGTAGCTGGGATTACAGGCACGTGCCACCATGCCCAGCAAATTTTTTGTATTTTTAGTAGAGACGGGGTTTCACCATGTTGACCAGGTTGGTCTCGATCTCTCGACCTCGTGATCCACCCGCCTCGGCCTCCCAAAGTGCTGGGATTACAGGCTTGAGCCACCGCGCCCGGCTTAAAAAAAAAGTTATTTTAGAACTCTGCTGTTATTTAGATGGCCTTGTATTTAGAAACTTAGATAAATATTCTTCTACAGTGTTTTAAATTTAAAAGCTGCTTACTTTTGCCACACTAGGAAAACTCAACCAGTGAATTTTGCAATTTAGCCATAAAAACACTGATGAAGTAACTAGAGTCTAAGTCAACTAGGAAGAAGGTGAGATGTTACATACCATTTTCAGTGAAATCAATAACCTATATTTTTATATTTTAAGGTCAATCAAGTGCTTACACAAATATTACTTGATACAACAACCATAACCTAATTTTAAATGAGGAACCTGAAGTAAGTTTAAGACACCTGCCCAAAGTCACACAGCTAGAAGGTAATGCAATCTTAACTAAGATCAGGCCTCTAGTGTAGGATGTTTGCAGTCTAGCTCAAGACCAAGAATTATGCAACCAGACAGAACACAAAACAAATCATCAGAAAGTCTAAGAGAAATCATTCTTTAAGTTAATCCAACAAGCAAAAGGAGAATTTTTAAAGCAAAATATATAAAACTGGAAAAAAACCAGCCCTTAATAATTGACACAAAAGCTATTTTATCTTTTTAAAAGCTACCCAAGAAAGAAAAGTTTGTGAAATGCCTGGAATATAAGAGAATTACTAACACAAAGTAATTAAAGCTTTGACTGGTGACAGCTGCAAATGGTGAGACTCAAGATTAGAAAGGAAAAAAGTAAGGTCAGCATCTAGAGATGGGCTTTAGGGCTGAGAAAAGGGACATTCATGGGGCTGACAAAGTTTTCCTGTCACACTCATATTTCAACATAAAAAGCGGCTCCAGTGATTAAGCTTTTGGGCACATCCAAAATGTTACTGAGTGTTATGAACAACATCACTAGGTCAGACAAGCCCACGCCAATCATAAAAGTAATCTAAGGCCAGGCACCGTGGCTCATGCCTCTAATTCCAACACTTTGGAAGGCTGAGGTGGGTTTATCACCGGAGTTCAGGAATCAAAGGCCAGCCTGGCCAAGATGGTGAAACCCTGTCTCTAGCAAAAATACAAAAATTAGCTGGGTGTGGTAACACGCAACTGTAATCCCAGCTACTCGGGAGGCTGAGGCAAGTGAATCATTTGAACTTGGGAGGCGGAGGTTGCAGTGAGCCAAAATTGCGCCGTGATGAGGCCATTGCACTCCACCCTGGGCAACAGAGGGAGACTCTGTATCAAAAAAAACAAAACAACAAAGAAACAAACCTCTAGTTCTTCAAAGTAGAACCTCAGCCTGCAGGTAACGTGTGGGGCCTCAGGCTGTAAAGCCCTAGGTAATGCTTAAAATTAATAACCTAAGTTGACCTGGGAAGCTTGCTAAGACAAAAATATCCTAGTACTTAGGTACTAACAGTGGTCGGAATTCGGTTTTTCCATATTCTATATGAGTTCTAACCAAGCAGGTGTGAAGGGGTAAGGCAAGTGAAGCAGTAAAAACTGGTTCACCTGACAGTGTGTACCAATTTAACGGGTGACTTTTACTTTTTTTTTTTTTTTTGAGACGCAGTTTCGTTCTTGTTGCCCAGGCTGGAGTGCAATGATGCAATCTCAGCTCACTGCAACCTCTGCATCCTGGGTTCAAGTGATTCTCCTGCCTCAGCCTCCCGAGTAGCTGGGATTACAGGCATGCGCCACCACGCCCAGCTACTTTTGTATTTTTTAGTAGAGATGGGGTTTCTCCATGTTAGCCAGGGTGGTCTCGAACCCCCAACATCAGGTGATCCGCCCGCCTAGGCCTCCCAAAGTGCTGGGATTATAGGTGTGAGCCATCGCGCCCAGACTCCCTTTTTCATCAAAACAAACAATACACCATGAGAATAAAATGCACATTTTCTCATTTTTAAGACAAAAATAAAGAACTTCAAATAAACGGCGGACCATACGCTAGGAATTCACTGTCCTCCACCGTTAGGGCGTTTTCCTCCGAAGCAAGTTTGGGAAATCTGGACCCCAGTTTCACCCAAGTGGATAGTTCCTCAGTCTAGGACTAAAAGAAGAGAGGCTGCAGTGAAGGAAGAAGTCTCGAGGCGCTCCTCGCCATCCGGCGGGAGTTAACAAATGGCAGCCTGAAAGCAACCTGGCGACGCCAGGCACCCGCGCTGCAAAGCCGACGCCCGCCCGACCCAACGTCGAGAATTGTCCGTTTCCCGAGAAGCCAATCAGCATGCGACCCCGAGGCCGGCTCCCCAGCGCCCCCTGCGGCCTGGAGGAGGACGGCCGCCAGGAAAGATGACGGGCGACTCCCCGCGTGCAGTTCTCGAGGGGCACACCCTAGGGTTCCCCGCCACGCGACGTTTCTCTCCGCAGTGCGTACCAGCTATCGAGTTGGATTCCTAGTGCTCGACGCCTGTGAGAAAGGGTAGGCTACGCTGCCTGCCGCAGGTTTGTTGTCAAACCGTTGGTCAATGGAGTTGCCCTTTTAATTGCGTCGTTAGCGCCAGCGTGGCATCGCCCTTTTAAGGCCGGTGGCAGCTGCGGTTCCGGGGGCGGGGTCCGACTTCTGCTGGACTTGGGTTGGAGCTGGGCTGATTCATTCGGGGCTGGAACTCGAACGCTGACGTCGGCTTCTGAGCCGGGCGCTGCCTCGCGCCTGATTGGCGGGTCCTCGGGGCCGCCCTCCCCAGCGCACCACCCCTGGGTTCCCTCCTGGGTCCGCAGTGGAAACACTGCCCTCTCCCTTCTTGACCCCTAGCCCTTCTTCCCCTCCCTCCTTCCCTCCTGTCGCCGTCTTTTCTGGCGCCGCTGCTCCCGGAGGAGCCCCCGACACGGCGATGGGTTCTCGGGCCTCCACGTTACTGCGGGACGAAGAGCTCGAGGAGATCAAGAAGGAGACCGGCTGTGAGTTCGGGTTGGGGGTGGGAACGCCGGGCGCCGTCAGGCTGGCCTCGGAACCGAGGGCGGCTGTCTCTAGGTCTGGAGCTCAGGTGTCTGTGAGGTTGGGGGTCCGGGGCAGCCTCCAGGTTTGGGGAACGAGAGCTGGAATACCTGTTCTTCCAGCTGCAGCTTCCTGGAGTGGGGCTGTAGCTACTGTGGCTCCTCCTTCCCTTCAAAATCGGGAGTCTTGATCACTCGTAGAGCGCCGACGTCCCCGTTTTCTGCCTCCTGCCCATCAAAGTCCCCGAAGTCAATTCCTTTCTGTTGACTGGCACCACCCTTCCCTATGAAGAGGCATCCTGAACGGTAGGTGAAGTCCGAGAAGCAAATTCAGGAACTCGAGATGGATTCTGTAGAAAATCAGTTTCTGAGCAAGGACCTAAAACCTATGACAATTGTAGGAAATTAGAAACAAGTTCTTGTCACAAATTGGGGAAACCACCCAGAAAGCAAAACCGTGTAGTAAGGCTTTGGAAGACATGATCCGATGCCTGGAGACCTTTAAACAATCAGGGATCTTGGATTGTGAGAGTTCTTTCAGTCTGAACTTTTACAGAAAATACACGGACACTGTGACCACCGATTTTTTTGCTTACACGAGGATATTTGTGTTCCTAGTGCTCCAAAAATCTCCGTGTGAATTTGTACTAGGAATTCATTTTCTTTTCTTTCTTTCTTTTTTTTTTTTTTTTTTTTTTTTTTTTTTTTTTTTTGAGACAGAGTCTCACTCTGTCTGACCAGGCTGGAGTGCAGTGGTGTGATGTTGGCTCACTGTAACCTCCGCCTCCCAGGTTCAAGGGATTCTCCTGCCGCAGCCTCCCTAGTAGCTGGGATTACAGGTGTCTGCCACCACACCCGGCTAATTTTTGTATTTTTTGTAGAGACGGAGTTTCACCACGCTGGACAGGCTGGTCTCAAACTCCTGACTGCTAATGATTCACCTGCCTCAGCCTCTCAAAGTGTTGGGATTACAGGACTGAGGCACCGTGCCCGACATAACGAATTTTTTTCCTTCTCTTTTTTTTTTGTAGTCCAGTCTCTTCCTCATTAGCCTGAACAAAGGAGCAAAAGAGCTCTGGGGATTCTGAAGCTCTATAAAATACCATCATACATTTGAATAGCCCTTGATAATGCAATGTATCATACAATGGTATTGATCCATACAATATTTTGTCTTTTCAGTAAACCTTTATGATTCTTGTTGAGTTAAGGAATGATGTTGCACCTGAGCTCTGACTCTTCATCATACCTGTCTTTGAGAATGACATGACCAGTAACTCACTCAGGGGCCCGTATGCAGATAGTACTGAGGAGTGCTATGGGGAACTACAGAATTATTCTGGCCTGGGATATATTAAGTGCTGTTCTCTTCATGACAAATTCAACTTTCTGGAGTTTTCTTTTTTTTTTTTTTTTTGAGACGGAGTTTCGCTCTTGTTACCCAGGCTGGAGTGCAATGGCGCGATCTCGGCTCACCGCAACCTCCGCCTCCTGGGCTCAGGCAATTCTCCTGCCTCAGCCTCCTGAGTAGCTGGGATTACAGGCACGTGCCACCATGCCCAGCTAATTTTTTGCACTTTTAGTAGAGACAGGGTTTCACCATGTTGACCAGGATGGTCTCGATCTCTCGACCTCGTGATCCACCCGCCTCGGCCTCCCAAAGTGCTGGGATTACAGGCTTGAGCCACCGCGCCCGGCTAACTTTCTGGAGTTTTCAAGTTGGAAGGGACATTATCTAGTTCCATCCCTTTTTGGATTGGTTTGCTTCTTTCAGCCTCCCCCCAGAATATGGCCTGTAAGCCTCTCTAAAGACCTTTAATGATGAGAACCTCACCACCTACCAAGGCAGTCCTTTTCACAATTTTGAATGAGCAAAAGTAGTTAGCTCTTTATAATTTGCAGTACTTGTTTGGCCACTGACTTACTCTGACCCTAGGAGTGGAGATACAGGCAGTTTGGATTCAGCAAACATTTTATTACATTTTGTGGCCATAACTTCTGGCCGCATTTGTAATTAGAACTACTTTAGGTCAAGGGTGACATCAATTTAAAGTATTTGTGTTGAAGAGTCACATGGAGAAATAAGGAGAACCAAAGAAAAATAAAGAGTCACATAATGAGAAAGTGTAAACCATAGTGAGCATGCAAAAAGGCATTTTTGCTTCAGAATGAAGGGAGCAGTAATCCCACCCTGTTTTATATATGTTTGACCAAATGGAAAGGCCCTAGATGGCTGTAGTCCTCTGGGATACTTTTACCATGTGGCTTGTGGACAAACAACTAAGTGCTCATGGAAAACTGTTTTCCCTATTGACAAAGAGTGAATAACTTGTGAGGGAGATCCTCACCACAGTCAGTGCAAATGTATGTATTGAGCCAGAATGCTTAGTGAAACAAGTGCTTACTGAATTTGTACAGTGTCTGTTCAGTACTGTGCTAGGTACTCAGAGCAGATGGTGACAAAAAAACGCCCACAACCTGGATGGGAAGATAAGCCCAAGAGAGTTATGATTAGCATCATGACATAAGAAAGCTGAAATTGTGTGTCACCCACCTTCAGAAATCAGAGAAGAGAGAGTCTTTGTGGAGGACAGGAATTGGGTCTTGATGCATGTATGAATGGAGTAGATTTGGAGAGATTAACCTAGGGCATTTTGAGTAACTTCCAGGAGAGATCTCCCCTAAGCCTGCTACAAAGTCATTCCTTTGCCCTGGGAACCATCAGTTTATCCAAATAGTGCCCATTATCAGAATTGATTTTTCTTTATCTTTATTTTAGACACAGGGTCTTTGCTCTGTCTCTTAGGCTGCACTACAGTGGCTTGAGCATAACTCACTGCAGTCCTCCAACTCCTGGGCTTAAGCCATCCTCCCACTTTAGAGTCCCAAGTAGCTAAGACTACAGATGCATACCACCATGCCTGGCTGATTTTTATTTTTTGTAGAGTTGAGTTCTCACTATTTTGTCAAGACTGGTCATGAACTCCTGGCTGCAAGTGATTCTTAGGCCACCTCAGCCTCCCAGAGTGCTGGGATTACAGATGTGAGCCACTGCACCAGACCCAGAGTTGTATTTTCTTTCTTTTTTTTTTTTTTTTTTGAGACAGAGTTTCACTCTTGTTACCCAGGCGGCTGGAGTGCAATGGCGCGATCTCGGCTCACCGCAACCTCCGCCTCCTGGGCTCAGGCAATTCTCCTGCCTCAGCCTCCTGAGTAGCTGGGATTACAGGCATGTGCCACCATGCCCAGCTAATTTTTTGTATTTTTAGTAGAGACGGGGTTTCACCATGTTGACCAGGATGGTCTCGATCTCTTGACCTCGTGATCCACCCGCCTCGGCCTCCCAAAGTGCTGGGATTACAGGCTTGAGCCACCGCGCCCGGCCCAGAGTTGTATTTTCAAGGAGTAATTTGGTATGATGCAAAAGATTTTGAAGAATAAAAACAGATACCTGGAGTGGGTAGAGAGCTGGAATTTGTCCTGTTTTCGTCTACCTTTTGTTCTATGAAGAATTTGAGGAACTATGAGAAGCACTTTAAGAACAAATTATAGGCTGGGCGTGGTGGCTCATGCCTGTAATCCCAGCACTTTGGGAGGCCAAGGCCAGCAGATCATGAGATCAAGAGATCGAGACCATCCTGGCCAACACGGTAAAACCCCGTCTCTTAAAAAAAAAAAAAAAAAGCAGTAATAAGACATTTTACTACTTACTCCCTTTGCCAGGAAAAAAAAAAGTAACATAATTGAGGAATACTAACTTTATATTCATTGTGAAAGTTCTGCATTGGAATTATTACATTTGACCATATTTATTGTAAATTTAAATTGATTAGAACTCATATGACTAGATTAGCTGGTATTTGACATTTAATGAATAACACTAAGTGTTTGGAAAAGTATTTATTTATTGATTGATTTTTTTTAAAGACGGGTTTTCACTATGTTGGTCAGGCTGGTCTTGAACTCCCGACCTCAGGTGATCCGCCCGCCGTGGCCTCCAAAGTGCTTGGATTACATGCATGAGCCACCGCGCCCGGCCAGAAAAGTAATTCTTAAATAAGAATTACCTCGGCTGGGCGTGGTGGCTCAAGCCTGTAATCCCAGCACTTTGGGAGGCCGAGGCGGGTGGATCACGAGGTCAAAAGATCCAGACCATCCTGATCAACATGGTGAAACCCCGTCTCTACTAAAAATACAAAAAATTAGCTGGGCATGGTGGCGCGTGCCTGTAATCCCAGCTACTCAGGAGGCTGAGGAAGGAGAATTGCCTGAACCCAGGAGGCGGAGGTTGTGGTGAGCGAGATCGCGCCATTGCACTGCAGCCTGGGTAACAAGAGCGAAACTCCGTCTCAAAAAAGAATTACCTGTGAGCCTCAGTTTCATCATTTGTAAAATTAAAATAATAATAGTGTCTGCTTTGTTTTTTTGAGATGGAGTCTCGCTCTTGTTGCCCAAGCTGGAGTGCAATGGTGCGATCACAGGTCACCACAACCTGGTCCTATGAGGTTTAAGTGATTCTTCTGACTCAGACTCCTGAGTAGCTTGGATACCTAGCCAATTTTTGTATTTTTAGTAGAGATGGGGGTTTCTCCATGTTGGTCAAGTTGGTCTGGAACTCTCGATCTCCCAAAGTGCTGGGATTACAGGTGTGAGCCACCATGCCTGGCAGTAATGCCTACTTTATAAGATTGTTATGACAATTAGATGAATTATGTAAACTACTTAGAATAGTGTCTGGTATAATAAACTTCATGTGAGAGTTATTATTTTGAACCATGGATAACAGTCATCTTATTGAGAAAACACCATTTGCATGTGCTAGTTATAAAAACTATTGTGTAGGGCTATATAATTGGTGAGGTTACAGCATTTTGTACTTCTATTGTTAGTGGATATTTGATTAGGAATTAAGTACAGATGTTTTGCCAATTTTAAGGGAATAAAACTTTTAAAGGAGTCTTTAA